GAAGAAGAAGGTATGCTCAGCCGTGTCTGCAATGCCAGGACAGTACATACAGTCTGGGCTGGCAGCCTTCCCCATTCTGTGCAAAAAGGCCCGAAAGTACCCGTGACCCGAAAAAAATTGAGTCAAGTAGTACCCAACCTCACCATGCTCCCGTTCCACCCATGGTTGGATGCTAGGAATGAGCCTGGCGGTCCATCGTCCCCGAGACTCGGCTTCCCATTCACGCTGCCAGCGGTCGAAACTGCGGTTGCGTTCTTCCCTTGCGGCAGTCTCTCTATCTACTTCAGGTCTCCTGCGGTAGATCGCCTGTCGCTCCCTCGCGAGATGAAAGACGGGGATGACACTGGCAATCACCATGACTGCAGGCTGCAGGCTCGGAAACCGTGCGGTAGGTGGAAGCAACTCGCAAGGCACTTTGACGCTGGACACGGGAGAGCCTGTCACGGAAGACACGCCTCTCCAGCAAGTGGGCCCAGACCTCAGCGCCGTACAAGAGTGCTGATTGGACGGCAGACATCAGTAGGCGGCATTTGCAGGAGCGGGGGCCGCCGACGTTTGGCATAAGCCTACTAAGGGCAACAACTCCCTTGGCGTCTTTGTCAACAGTTCGCTTTATCTGCTCACCGAAAGACATTTTGCCGTCAATCATAACACCAAGGTATTTGGCATACGGCTTGGTCTCCAATTGGGCATGGCCTACTTGCAAAGGACGGTGGGAATTCTTTTCTTGGTTAGGATAACGATCTTTGTTTTTTCAACCGCCAACGATAGGATCGATCCCTGTAGGAATACAGCTGGTTCTTATTTATAGTGACTGTGTTGATTTTTGCTCTGTGAATAATTATCTTTTTTACGTATTTTTGAGCTCGGGCTCTCTTTTAAAGTTGTGACAAGTTTAATTCTTTGTTTGTTCTTTGTACTTGTTTCATAGTATCGCGGAAATAGTTAAATTAAACAATAAAACTTCGTTCAAACATAGGTCTAACCTACAAGCTCCTCCTGTTACAAGAATGTCAACAACTAATGTAAACAAAGCTAAGTATAATGTGCAACAAACAAACGAGCTCCTTGCTATGCCTTTTGATGAAAATGTAAGTGATCCTGATGATGATTTTGTCTTTCCAAAACGTAAACTTACCTTTTCTTCCTCTGAATCTCAACCGAAACGCTATGTTTTAGATTCAAGTGAACTATGTAAAGGCAATAAATATCAAATTCTATCTGAACATTCTTATAGTTCTAATGGTAATGGCAATGGCGTGGATCAATCACACGATATGGACGATTCTACTTTGGAAAACCAAGTAAATGACCCAAAGTTAAAAATCCCTCCTATATTTTTGCACAACGTAAACAACCACCAAGAAATAATAAAAGATGTCCGAAATATGGTAAAGGCAACTTTTTCGACTCAAGTTCGAGGGCAGTCCCTTAAAGTGAACTTGTCTAATATAGATGACTTTAGAAATTTGACAGCCTTTTATGATTCTTCTAACATTAAATATCATACTTTTCAACCCCTACATGACAAAAAACTAGAAGTGATTGTCAGGAACGTCCCTACATCATTATCTGAGAATGAAATTAAAACTGAGCTAACAGATCAAAACTATCCTGTCATTAGAGTCACTAGGTTACTCAACAAAAACAAACTTCCACTCCCTCTTTGTGCAGTAGACTTAGAAAACAACGACGACGGCAAAGCTATCTTTAATTTAACCACAATATGTTTTGCAGTTGTAAGTGTCGAAATGAAAAGAAAATCTAGGCAAATTCCCCAATGCACTCGATGTCAACGCTATGGGCACACGAAGAACTTTTGTAAGTTGGACCCAAGGTGCGTGCGGTGCACTGGTCAACATCACTACTCTGAATGTCCTAAACAAAAAACTGCAGCTCCTCAATGTGTTAATTGTGGCGAAAGCCACACAGCTAACTACAGAGGCTGTCAAGTATACCAGAAAATAACCAACAAGGATCACAATCGGGGTAGTCCTCGCAATCGCCATCAAAACGCTACTGACGAAAAAGAAAATACTCCTTCTCCCCCTGATTTGAATTCTGCTACTCATTTTCCTGAGATTCATACAAACTTTTCGCCTCAGGAACCTCCCACATCACGAGTTTCATTTGCTAAAGTTGCTGCTACGAGCCGCCGCAATATTAATAATTCATTCTCACAAGAACAATCTGATGATGCTCCTGATACGTCTGTGTTTCAAAACTTTGAACAAATAATCCTAGATGTGGTGAAATCGTTCATTCCTACTCTCAAAAAGATAATAAGTAATGTGATAAGCTCTATTCTCTCAAATGGATCAGGTCAATTATTTTCAAATTAACAATTTAACCCTCCTTAACTGGAATGCCAATGGGCTTAGAGATAAACGTGCTACTTTTATCGCGTTTATGGTTAGACATAGCATCGATATTGCGTGCATTACTGAGACACACCTGACCAATGTGGAAAATTTCAAAATTAATGGGTATTCTATATACAGGGAAGATAGGCCTAATCCAATAGCTTCAGGTGGCGTTGCAATCTTTGTGCGAAGAACTTTGGACCATCATAATATATTTTTACCTCGTTTATCTTCGGTAGAAGCTGTTGGTGTAAAAATTAATTTAAGTCATGGTGCAGACTTTCGCTTAATTTCTGTCTACAAACCCCCGAACAAACGGCTACACAATAATGACTTGCAGGTGCTGTTTGCAGAAAATTGTTCGACTGTTGTTATGGGGGACCTAAATTGTAAACATCAGATATGGGGTTGCAGAACCACAAACCCAAATGGAAACCGTTTGTTACGACTTACAAATAACTCAAACGTAATGATTGATGCGCCACAAGAACCAACACATTTCCCATGGCAACCTAATTATCAACCAGATATACTAGATTTGGTTTTGCACAAAAACTTTACAGCTCCAATCATTCAAAATGTTTTACCCGAGCTGGACTCTGACCATTCTCCCGTTATAGTAACCTTCTTCACGCAACCTCAATTTAGTTGTCCACCTCAACGATTAATTAATGGAAAGATAAATTGGGAAATTTTCAGTGCAGAATTGGATAAATGTTTAGAAGGTATGCCTAAATTATCGTCTTGCATTATCGTCCACTCCGTAAATCACCTGGCCATGACCTTATTCCTAATATTATTTTGCGAAATCTCACCAACAAAGGCTTTTCATATTTCACATCAATTATTAATGCATGTTTGTCTAAATCTTACTTCCCTTCTATTTGGAAGCATGCGGAAATATCAGTTATTCATAAACCCAATAAACCGAAGTCTTCTCCATCGAGTTACCGTCCAATCAGCTTACTTTCTACGCTTTCTAAAGTCTTTGAAAAAATCATCTTGAAACGAATTGCCTGTTACATGGATGCTGCAAATATAATTCCTGCTCATCAATTTGGATTTCGGCCAAAACATTCGCCCTTACATCAAATCCTACGAATATATGAAACGATAGTCAAAGGGTTTGAGAGGAAACAGCACACAGTAACGGCATTTCTTGACATATCTCAGGCATTTGATAAGGTATGGCATGACGGTCTTGTCTTTAAATTGATTAATTTCGGATTTCCAAAATATTTAACCAGTATTGTAAAATCGTTTCTCTGTCACAGGACCTTCTCTGTTAAAATTAGTTCTTCCAAATCATCTGTACGACGAGTCAATGCAGGAGTTCCACAAGGTTCAATTTTGGGCCCTGTATTGTTCAATCTATACATGGCAGACATCCCTCTTCCAGAAGACGCCTCATTAGCTCTCTACGCCGACGACACTGCTATCCTGTGCCAACATTCCGACATCCACGAGGCCACGTATTCCCTGCAATACTCTGTGGATCTTCTCATTGATTGGTTCTACAAGTGGAAATTTCGCCTAAATTCAACTAAATGTGAGACAAAAATATTTTCCTTGAAAAAACATACATTGCCACATGAAATTCAAATATATGGTAACTTTCTACCTTGGAACCCTGATGACCAGGCCATAAAATATCTTGGAGTATGGCTGGACAAAAAACTTAATTGGAACTACCACGTTAATCAAAAACTGTCCCAAGGTTATGCACGCCTTGCAAAGCTTTTCCCTTTAATCAATAGGAAATCTACTCTGAAGCCAGCTTGTACAGTTCTAATCTACAAATCAATAATTCGGCCCTTGATTACATATGCATCTCCTATCTGGGGATTAGCTATATCAAAAAACAAACTCTTCAAAATTCAAGTGATTCAAAACAAAATTCTAAGAATAGCGGTGAATGCTCCCTGGTTTGTTAGAAACAGGCATATACATGAAGAACTAGGAGTCGAGTCTATCTCGGCCTTTATTGAAAAAACCACCTCAAAATTTCTAAAATCTTTAAACGATGTTCCTGGTGCATTAACTTTTCATCTTGGTGAAGCAACTGAGAACAGGAGGCTACGTCGAAGGCTCCCTCAAGATCTATTGGATGAATGAAGCCTAAAGACGATTAAATTATTCTCTAAATTAATTATGTTACAGGGTGTACCAGGTTTGGGCGAACCCACGATGTTATTATAGTTAATTTCTTTTTAATTTTGTTAACACTTCTGTGTATAATGTCTACATTGAACCAGAAATAAATGCTGTAAAAAAAAAAATCGATCCCTGTGCAGCCCCAGAAGTGACAGAGATCCGACACTGACCAGACTGACCTATTCCTACATCCTAAATTTTACCATTGATTATACATCTGAGATTTTTAATCAACGATTTTATCATAGATAATACATGTATCTAGGCTATTATTATTTGAGCCTAGATTGATACAGCTACAGTTACATGATCTTACTTATTTCTCAAACCAATGACACAATCTTAGAGTAAATAAACCTGCCAATATTATTTTATTATATTTATTCCAACCCACGGATCCTGGAAACGTTTTACTCTTTGAATTGAACTCTTTGTATTGCTGTCTACAAAAGAAAATTTTGACTTTTGTACACAAGATGGCGTCCTAGGGTTTACTAGTTAAGTACAACATAAAGTATTAGTTTTATTTCAATGGAGTATAGAATTTAGATGTATAGTGCATGTTTTATTTAAACTATTTTTTGAATAAATAGTCTGTGCGTGCAGTTATTCTTCCTAAATGTAAAAATATTCAGTTTATGTGCTCTGTTTTCATAATCTCTCTAACCCCAATGGGTTCTTCTGATTTCCTCATAAGCCTACAACTTAAAGAGATAATTCTGTAAAGTAACTAAATTTGGCATGTTAAAAATGAATGAGGTTGAAAGTCAAGCTCAAGAACTACTTCGCCATAAGGAATGGTTATCTGCACTTGGACTGTTTGATCAGTTATTAGGGTATGCTGCTGTGAAAGGAACTTCAAAGGAAAGATTAGTTGGTTACTTGTTAGGTAGATCTGAGTGCTGTTTAGAACTGGGTCGACATGAAGCTGTTGTTTCTGATTGTCGCAAAATCATTAAACTGTTGGGTGGAGTCGAAAGTGGCAATAATTGTGGTGCAAGGGCTCGAAGAAGACTAGTTCATGCTTTGTTTACATTGAGGAGATTTGCCGAGGCTGAAGCAGCAACTGCTGAGTGGATAGCATCTAGTGGCGGTATGACAAGTACAAACTCTGAAGCTGTCAAAATGCTTGAAAGAGTTCGAATAGGATTGCAGATGGCCAATGGTCAAAAGAATGTCAGTATGAAAGGTGTGGCACAAGTAGTGCCTCAGCATCACCGAATGGAAGAAGAGATTCTCACAATGGATTGCAGACTAGAATCACTCTTTAACCCAGCAATGGATGACAGGCCAAGGAGAAATCGGAAACATCCTGTAGAACTTATTGGCGAGTCAAGTGGAGTTGAGCAGAGTACACAAAATGTTGATTTTCAGCAACAAATTTTGAACGTGAATCATATTCCCTTTGAGTTAACTAATATTCCGTTTATGGATCCATTGCGAATGAACTGCATCCAACCACAAATGGTTGATCATAGTAAGTTACAAAGTGTTAAGTTAATTGTATGTATTTTTCACTTGCTTGGTTTTTAGTCACTAACTAAAGTAGGCCTGGGTTGACCTACATAGGATGAAGGTACCGGTACCTACTGTAGGCCTATGTACTCAGTAGCTTAGTTAACTTAGTCAACTTATAGTGCTTTTTAAGACTTAAGTTGTTAGCTTCTTCACAAGCAAGATTTATACCCATATCCTAAACTAATATCCCAGCAAATTTTAGGTTAGGCCTAGGTCTGAATTAAAACTAATGTGACTCACGTAAGGTAGTTTTTTGAGAGCCTCTGGCCAGCAAAGTTAAACTTTGATTTCATAGACCTAGGCCATATCAGTACTGTCCTTATTACCGGTTCCTCATCTTTTACCCCATGGGGGATTGATGGCGTCATTAAAAGTGAAAGATAATTATTTAGTATAGGTGCCTCCAAACAAGTTTTTTTAAATTTTAGGCTAATGTCTAACTTTATAGTTTTTTACCTCCTGAATCCAAATAAGTTTAGCCTAAGTTTCATTATTTTTCACCACTAATGAATATTTCACAAGATATCGCCGTACAAATATACAACATTACAATAAACAAGGTAGGAGGATGACATTTACAAGAGGAATGAACTGTGGGTGTAGTAAGCCAACAGCTGATTGTTTTTAATCATAGGTACCGGTACTCAAGGAAATGGAAGTGACAATTTTATTAGCTAACTCTGATTCTGCAATTTGAAAATCACCTGATTGAGTTAGGGCCTAGATACTTTTAACTTTCTAAGACCAATAAGTTAACATTCAATGTAATTTATTATTGTTACCAGCATTTTATTCTTATATTCATATAGCCTATATAACTGGGACGGGTGGCGTCGTCCTGTAATCCAGCTACTAGGAGGTTACGAATTGTGGATAGGCATGCACTGTGGATGCGATACTCCCTGGTGTGGATTAACGTCCGCACGAGTGAGTACTACGACTATCCGCAGTACTATCCTGAAAATTAGACCAATTCGTATATATACCGTAGCAAGGCAAAAATGTGGTACGAATTCCACTATAAAATGTAGGTCCCTTAGTTGCCATTAGCTGTATGGGCTATTAATTAACAGCTGTGTCTAAGGAATAAGTCGGCCTTAGTCACTAACAAGACTACAAGATCGCACCACTCATCCTACACTCATCTCCATACTTGGCTTAAATACCTACTTTATATGGTCGCCGTTTCATTGAAAAGTATTAAAGTAGGCCTATATGATTTATATTTCACCGTTATAAAGAATAAAAATTAGAAATTACATGGTAAAATACTATCTAACATGACCTAGAACCAAACCAAACCTCTAGAACAATAGCAAACTCCTTTTGATGTCAGAAAAGGCATGTCAGGGTGGTTGGCTGTGCTTTAAATGCAAATTTGTGACTGCATTAAGTCCTTTAACGGTACGTTAGATTAGGTAGGTAAGTTAAAGTTTAGGTTATAATGAATCGAGTTGTTAGTTTATGCAAATTTGTGACTGCATTAAGTCCTTTAAAGGTACGTTAGATTAGGTAGGTAAGTTAAAGTTTAGGTTATAATGAATCGAGTTGATGGTTTATGTCACCTTCAGACTCTTTTTGTAACAACCTAGGCCTACTACCCTGACATGCCTAAATAAGAACTAGCCTACGTGTAATTAGTCCACCAGTCAATCTATAACTCCATAACGTGACAGAATTCCTTATAGAAAACATTATTGACTACAGAATCACTTGAAATGTTTCTATAGTCAACAAAGTTATTTTGTTTAATCAACGATGTTATTATTCTCATCAACTATGTTACTCTCTTCACTTAACTTGTCTTTTGACGGCATAGCAGACTAGCACCACGCAGTACAGTATGAGTATTTTTGTTTTGTGTTCTAGTTGTAGTGAAGTAAAATGATGTCACTGGGCCGACCATGCCGATGACAGAATCAGTGTGAGTTAATAAAGTTCAAAAGCTGTTTCTTCCAGTTGGTTGTCGTTTGGTTGAAAACAGTCAGCTGTAGGCTTAGTTAACCCACAGTTCATTCCACTTGTAAATGTCATACATCCTACCTTGTTTATTGTAATGTTTTATATTTTTACGGCGATATCTTGAGAAATATTCATCAGCGGTGAAAAATAATGGTATATTAAGAAACAGGACAGTAATAAACTATAAAGTAAGATATCAAAATTAAAAATTTGTTTGGAGGCACATCTTTACACATGAAATACTTGACTAAGTTAAATACATTTAGGCGTATTGCTTAAGCCTAATATAGGCAGGCTTAACAAGCTGTAAGTTTGTTGGCTATTAACTTAGTTTATTACATTTTTAAGACTTTGGAATTTACAACAAAAACTGGAAAGACCACCTGGCAGGGTAGTGGTTGTAGGCTTAAAACATTCTTTTATAAGATTGTTCAAGTTACTCAAACAAAACAAAAAACATCTGGTGACGTGTTATTTAGAGTTCATGATATTTTCAGTTCATTTACAAGTAACCTAGCTAATATTGTATGTATCACAAGACAGGTTGGATTAGGTTAGTTGAAGTTACCCAGCCAATCTACTTCGTTTGGCTTCTAAGGTTAGGCCTATACTAGAAATCTAACCCAACCTGCTTCTATTATTGATCAAGGCCCGATATATCAATCCTTAGCACTTGAGAGATCAAGAATCATTTTAATGGGAGGTCTGAGATTGATATGATTTCTTAGTGGGCTAATGATGTAAGTTAGGCTTAGTTCAAGTCCAAATATAAACTGCAAATATTTTGAGGCACCTTACTGTTGGTTAACAATTATATGTTATAGGTTACAATCTAATAAAACAAGATAGGTGGCTCTACTGAAATAGCCCCAACAACGGATAATTTAAACAACATTGTGGCCTTTGAGTATTAATCACACTTCTACTCAGTGGTCGATCCGGTACCTCTCTTTCGTAACGCTAAAATTATTGGCATGAATAGGTACTAATCACATTAAATAGGTTACAGTTCCGGCACCTCATTTTTTACAAATTGATCACTGCTTCTACTTACTGACCTTTTTATTCCCAGACTTGATTGATCTATTATTTTGTTTCAATCAAATAGGTAGTGGCCTTCTCAAAATTATGATACTGTGAAGTAGTTTTATTCATCCTAATTGTAAATAATTACATGTTAACTTGCTAGGCTAATTTAAAATTTTTTATTGAATACATTTCAAGGACATAAAAAACATGAAACATCCAAAAGGCCTGTATCTAATCATGTTTCAGTGGCTGCATTGAGAATCGCTGAAGAAGTAAAAACAATGCCTCCGAACCCTCATCATCAGCAGATTCAACAACAGTTGCAACAACAACAAATCCAACAGTTGCAACAACTTCAGCAACAACAGTTGCAACAACAGATTCAACAACAACAGATTCAGCAGCAGCAACAGATTCAGCAGCAACATCAGGTTCAGCAGCAACAACAGGTTCAGCAGCAACAGGTTCAGCATCAACAACAACATCAACAACAACAGCAGCAGCAACAACAGCAGCAGCATCCACAACAAATTGTAGGAAGAAATGGCTTATCTTGCACTTATTGCTGCCTCACGTTTTCTGACAAAAACGATCTCCGTAACCACTGTCAGACGGAGAGTCATCAGAGGGTGATTATGTCTGATGAAGGCAGGGATTGGAAGTGGCGGCCTCCACCTAGAGGGTTTGTATTAAATGCTAGATTTATTGAAGATTGCTATTTGAAAAATTACTAGTAAGCTACTCATATTTTGTTACAGTGGAACCTCAATAGCAAGTCACCCTAAAAAAAACAAGAGTACCCTTGCTGTTTAGTGTTTACCCTTGTATTTTTGTCATGCTTCTGATCATGTTATTGGAAACCTATATAGGCATTGATGAGAATTCTACCTTCATAATAAGTCTTATAATCTTGATAATTCCCATGCTAGATTTGTTGTGACACTTGTTATCGAGATCTGGTTGCAGGCCTTGGTTAAAGTAGATCTACCAAATTAAAGTAGTTAAAAGCCTTTCCCTACAGTATTAAGATGAGTCTGAAAAAAAATTGTGAATGGAACGGGGACAACATTCTATTGTTAGCCTAATAGGTTTTTTCAGTACATTTCACTTAGCCTAAATGTAAATCCAGGTTTTTATTCAATCTAGGAAAAGATGTTCTCAAATCTGCAAATTGGTGTCCGTTTTTGAATCTTAATAATGTTGGTTAAATTGATAACAGCTGAATTTCGCGAAATCTGGATAAGAAAAGTGTTTGACTATGTGGATTCATTATAGCCTAATGTCTAGCCTTCACAAATGGCTGTAGCTTCAGGTACCGGTACAGGAATTTGTGATTTTAATGGCAATGAACTAACTTTTTTTATAAATCTTATTGAAAGATAGTTTTTTTTTTTTGTTTGCAATGCCATCAACAACGTTGTTTTTGTGTTCATCAATTTAATCTTAAGGCCTTCATAAAACTGTATACAAATTTTGTAAGTTTAACTAGAAGGTATAATATTCCACAGATACTCATCAGAGGTTTTTTCCAGATACACCTCAGAAAACTACACGCTGTGTGAGTCTTGGGCAGACAGCGGTGTGTGTAGGTACGGTGCTCAGTGTGTGGAGGCTCATGGGCCTCAGGAACTACAGGAGTGGCGCGAGCGCTTTGAGTACCGACGGATGAAACTGCAGCGAGCCAGCGAGAAGGAGTTGTACGGCAAGTCGTACACAGAACAGCTGCTTGAGAGGTAAGTGTGTGTTCAACATATTTATGTTAAAAGTTGAATCGAGGTTATTGAAATTTTTTGTACCTATAAAATTTTAGAAATAGTGTGTTGTAAAAACGTATATCAGTATTGTCTATTCATTAAAACTAGAGGTTGTCCAGTGGTCAAAAACTCGACCAAAAATATCTAAACTAGGCCTACAGATTTCTCTATTTTCACCCCACGTTGTAAATAAAACATGTGATTGGAATTTCTTCCATTTGTTTTGATTGTCTGTTTATATTTTGTTGTTATTTCGTCACCAGCATGAGACCCATGTAACAAGACCCATGTTAATTTTTTTTAAATTTTGAATTCATTTTTTGTGCTTATGGGCCAAAGGGATTCTGCACACCTACAGAAAAATATCTTTCTAACATTGTGCGTAGATTTTCCCTATGATGCACACAAGCTGGGAAAAAAGGTTTTAAAGAAACATGCTTGCCTATTAATTATAGATCATCAAGGTAGTTGTTACCTGACATTACATATGGCAGCATTACCTTGTCACTGAGTCTCGCGCAAACCGTTAGGCCGCATGAGCTCCTGCCGGCCGCTCTTGTAATATTGAATTCACCGTCTTTGGCTGCAATTTAGTTTAGGCTAACTGACGTTTTAGATGACCGGCTTTGGGATAATTAGCGCTCTACTGTACTTTGGTATAAAGAAGTTAATACCTGACTACATTGATCCAAACCAAGCAGATGTACCTGATGTCAGTGTGTAACATTACAGATGGGTACAGTCAGCAAGTCCTGACAGAGTGATGAGAGAGAGAGTTGATGAAGTGGATGACAACTGCAGCAGTGATCTAACCACCACAGTCAGTACCAAGAGTAGTGAACACGATTGGACCTTCACCCTGCATACAGTATTGCCACTACGAGCTGTTGCTTTGCTCCAGGATGCCCATAGAAATCACTTTCACCTCAAGTAAGTACTGTCATGAAATATAGTTAAAGCTAATTTTGAAACAGGATTTTGTTTTGTCAAATTGTAAAGTCATGAAAAAGAATAAAATTTAGGATGGTGATAGCCTAAATCCATTTTCAAACTACACATGGACGATTGTGTCTGCTACCCTTCCCATGAGGTGGAAAATAACCTTGTCAATAAAAACTGTAGATTTTTGGGTTTTTTATTGACCAGTTTGAGCAACAAACCACAAAATTAAAAAAGACTTTTTCACCAGGGCTCGGGCTTAGAGCATGTTCAAGTTTTAATTGGTAGGACTTGTATAGCAAACCCTGATTAGAATTAACAATATCTTTTTACACAAGCAGATATTGTAAACTAGAGAGATTCCATTCAGTAGCATTTACAAGTTCCAGTTACGGTACCTTGTTTTGAAATTAATGGAAAGACAACTCTGCCAATTGCAGGCTGTGAACTTTATTTTTATAGCACTTGTCATCTGGGTATAGCAGGTACAACTGAGCGAGGAAGTGTAATTTCATTATGGCAAAAAAAAAAGAGAAATAGTTTAATGTTCTGAGTTCATTTTAAAAATCTGAACCGTTTGTTGCGCAGGTTCATATCAACAACTGGAGCCCAATCGGGCAAAACACTAGTCAATATGGAGCTTAACAACGGACAAGAATGGACCTGTTCTGGTGACGAAGTTAATGAGTTGAATGAAACACTAGAACATGTGGTGAAAGTAGGGTTTACCACGGACATCTTCGGCACCTTTCGTCAGTCATTGGTGTTTGACGTTGGCAATGAACCAGTTCTCGTCAAACACCTCTGTGTTGATGTTATCCCAGTCACAGATGCTGATAAGATCAAGGAAATTAAAAAGGTTATTTGATTCTGTGTTTAAAATTGTTTAAATTTAGTAGGCCTACTTTAAAAAGCTTGGGTACATATACAAACAGATTAACTACATTGAAAACATAAACTACCTTCTTCATGATTATTGATCTATTTTGTTCTTAGTTACAGGCAAAAAATACATTACTTATCTCTTATCTCCTTTGTAATTTAATGAAATGAATAAATCAGTATGTACATTTATATATTGAATGTTAATGTTAAAAATGTCTTTTCATTATTGTCATGTTTTCTATTTCTATGTTTTTATATACATTGTTATTTTGATGGGTATTTGTTGTATATCTAGTTATTTTCTGTGCATGTAATTAATACTGTACGTAAATAAATAGTCCACTAATTTTGCATTGTACCTGAATGTTTGCGAGGTAAAATTAAATTTTATGGATATTTTCAATAGGAAATTACCATAAAATTTGTCTGCTCAGGAGCTTGTGCTATCAACGGCTGAGAGATGGGACAAGTCAGATGTCAAGATTGTTACGTTCACTTCTCCTGTGGTGATGATGTCGTCAACCACAGACAACGCAAGGGAGTTGGAACTGCTGGCCGCTTACCCAATGCCACGAGCCGAGACGTTCACTCTGACCCAGTCCACCATCAGTGAGAAGAAGCTGACGCGCAATAACTACCGAGCGAGAATGCACGAACTGCTATGTGTAGAGGAGATGGCTAGATATGAGCAGGTAAAATTCAATTGTTTTTTGTATCTGAACAATTTTTAGTTTTTGAACTCTGTAGAAAATATAAGGCTAATGGAGGTTTATCTAGAATGTTATTCTTTGAATCTTTTTAAAATATATTTTTTAGCATTTCTGTGGTACCTATTAATGAATTAATTAATTGATTTGTCCACTAATATAATGCAATCAATAAGTATAATAATTGCTATGTATGCATTGATATGTCTGGTTGTTTTCAATAGGCTTAGTTGAAATGGTGGACAACTTTTAACCACCGCTTTACAAAAGTTTTAGCTTTGATTTTTTTCAACATGCCAATAATATTAAAACATTTAACTTTCACAAGTTTTTAGTAATTTTGAGTTTTGAGGCACCTAGAAGTAGCCTACATGTGCAAGCAATAGCCCATTGTTTTAGAATAAATTTTACTTAAATCAGAAGGTTTTCAAGTAATTATTATTGACTTAAACATTTAGGTTTTAATAATATAACCATCCAACATTTTTTGAATGTTAAATATGGTATACTAACACCTAATTAGTTTCAGAATTTTGAAATTATTGTATCAAAGCTCAACTATTCTAGGTGCCTGGGGAAACCGAAAACCACCTATCTAGTATAGTTTGACTGAGTTTCTTTTTCCCGATGTTAAATTTATAGCCAGCTTTTTTATCAAAATTGTCGTAGTTGGTGTGAGCCACCTACAGATTGCGCTGATCTAAAATACTAAATCCTGCCGAATACACAATCTTTTTAACCAAGTCAAACTTAGGGAATGACTTATGATGAGTTATAGCAACTGTTATGACCCATCAACCTGGTCAGCAACAAAAAATAAGGTATAAAATAGAATTTTAGACACTAGCGCATTCTGTGACTGGCTCACACAACTACATTCATTTTTAATAAAAACTTGGCTACAGCTGGTCCATATGGATGGAAAGTCAACTTCAATATCCAATAGTCAATGGTAATACTATTCTGTTTTTAGCTACTTTAGTTTAACCATAGACTAACCAACACAAGTAGACTTCTCATCCCATTGTAAATTTTGAAGCACGTTTTTCGTGTCTAGTTCATGTACGTGACACATGGGCGCTAGTGTCGACGAAACTTTGTTTCTATTATTTTAGGGTTAATTTCTTGATTTGTGCTTTACTGTTTGGTTATATAACTAGGGGACAGGTTATTGTTTATGATTAGATTGTATTATTTGGTTAAACGAGGTCTTAAATGGCTGTAATAACGGGAAACAAATTATAAACAAAACACGACCTCTACAGAAAACCGTACAGAACTAACAATAAAATTGTCTTCAGCTGTTCCATAAGGATGAGAAATCTACTAAGGGAGTATGTTTTATCTATGGTTTAACTAACTTAAAACTATTTTACATAAAAGCAATAAATTGTTTTGATATTTATTTTATTGCACAAACTTTTAAATCTCAATTTTAATAAAATATAATTCAAGAATAATCAGCCTTCTGGATTTCTGCAAAGGACACTTGACTCATAGTGGTATTATCATCATTACCTTTGTTTATTCTAACAGACAGTTTCAAACTTAAACTGAAATTAATAACTATTATTAAATAGTTTAATTTAATTAGTCTTTCATATTGTAACTGTCGGCTTTTTATTCAAGGAAATATTGAAAATAATAAATTTCCTAAGATGTATTATTTGTTTGTCAGGTGGCGAGGTATAACCTAAGTACCCGACTGAAGCTGGCCAACTGTTATTTGCTGTCGCCCAGTGGTGTTGCCGCCTCCACTGCCAAGTACGCCCACAACGGAGAGTTGTTTGCCCTCATGACGCTCGGCAAGGACATCTCGGAAGACACCAGCGCCGGGAGACTCATACTCAACAACTGCAGTACTGTGTTGCTGTCCCCTCCCTTACCAGATGATGGTGAGTGCTACAATCTTCCTTCATATTCTAGGCCGGAACCATGTACACATTACTTCAGGCTAGTGATAGGCTAGAGTTGCAGCATCATCACATAAAGTGTTTGGTGAGATTTGAACCTAGGGGACCGCATTCTACCTCTAAACTAGCTCGCTTCTCGTAAATATTTAGAACTGAACTTTAAAATTAACTTGTGAATCAAGAATGTAGGCCGAATGGCTAACAAAGTAGACAGATGTAATGGATGATAGATATATACAATAGAAGTTCAAATAGATGGACAATTAGAGCAGCATGTTTATGAAAAATCTAAGTAATGATAGAAATATACTTTTCCTACAGTTACCTAACAATGTACATGTTCTCTCACTGATTTGAGAAAGCAAAGTGGCCAATTCGCTCATCAGTGAGATGTATAAATCATTGAAATATTTAAGATATCACAATAACAATTTTTACTGCATTATTGTACAGAATTAACGAGCCACCTTAACTCATTAGCCTAGTGGCTGAAGGGAATCTATAAATATGAATGACAAGATGGGGACAGAAGTTACCATGCAAAAAAGTCAAGATTATTAAATTCTTTAAAATATGTATTAAAATATTTTCTGTTTTCTAATTATTATACTTTGCCGGCACATACATACATACATAAATGGGTGTGAATTTGAACGGATGTTGTTTTTGACCTCTGGGGACATCAAAACGACAAAGTAAATGGTCCTGGGTGTGTAGGTGTTACCATGAGACCTACGGTAAAAGCTTATCTCCGATGTGGGAAATTTGCCAATATACAACAAAACTATAGGCAGTTGTGATAATTTCAACTTTTTTTTTAGAAAACCAAAGTGAATTGGACAAAAATGGTGAAAAAAAACCAAAAAGGACTGTTTACGAAGCTTTGATTGAAGACAAGGGCAAGAATGTAATTTACCTCAGATTATCTGCACCCACTGTGTCCATGTTGGAATTAAAGGTAAGTAAAGTTAATAAAATTGATTAATTTAATTTGCAAGTAGTGTCTGTTAGCAGAGTAACTCGAGATTTGAAGCTTTTGTATGTGGGTTTTTGACATATTGTGACTCAGACGTTATTATTTCAAGGAATGATTTATTTGGCTGAAAAATATATCACAGAATAATTTTAGAGAGAGTCATTAATGTTGATCACAATAAAATTAATCCCAAAGGAATGATTTCTTAATAATGTAGGCTACGTCATATACTTACAAGACAACAACAAATATGACAGTCAATTTCTAATTAAAATTCAAAACATTTGGACACTAACTGTACTATTCTTTTTACATTACCACAAATGAATTATGTAAAATATTTTGCTACAATCATTGACTTATAGGTACAATATCTTGAAGTAGACATTCCATTTCCTGTTAAATTTGTAGCCGGTCTTAGAATAAAAACTAACTTAGTATTAACTTATTGTTATTGCATCGTTCCTGATCGACTACCGGTCTTATAACTAAAATAAAAAGAAGATCTACAGCTTTTTCAATAATCTTATCTTTGAGAGAAACCTTGCTGGCTATAGCAGGTCCATATGGTATGTACACATCAATATCTAAAGACATAAATAGCATTCGGAACACGAACGTTCGTAATACTTGCTCTAATATAACAAAAGAGTTAATGTAAAATATTATAAGAGCGCAGACGTTTTCAGAAAGCTAGCCACAAACTTGCTCAGTTTTAGACAGGATAATTTTTAAAATTGTAAAAAGTATATTATTAGTTATGAAACCGTTTTAACAATTTTTTTCATTACAGAATGACACAGAGTTTACAATGGAAGTGCAGTTCCAACTGAATCGAGTCCCGTACTGTGAGTGGCACCACGCCATAGACAAGATTGCCGACTTTAGAATCATATTTCCAGAGACCTTCATGGAACCCACAATTCCATGGACCCCACAAAGGTTAATTTTGTCAGGCTACCTAAATTGTTCAGCATTTTAATATTAAATTGTAAGTCTTTAACTTGTAAGTATATTTTTTTACTATGCCAGAGTCAGTATAATTAATTAAGTAAGTAGGTACATATTTTAAAGAGATATACTTATAATTAATTGCAAGTTAGAAATAAAAGTCATAGATAAAATTTTGTATAATGCAAAGTATAAACAACCTTATAATCATTTTTAACCAATCTTTATTTTGAAAACTTTTACCAAATCAAAAGTTAATGATAAATACCTAAATAATTCTGTAGATGAGTGACTAAGTTTTTTTTTAACTTATCAGCATAATTTAAAAAAAAATATATATTCAGTCAATATTCTTTCCATTCCTCAAACTTGATTGTTTTTCTACTTTATATTTAATGTTTTACCGTGTTTTAATTTTTGTGGTTTTTATTTTTTTCCAGTGAGTTAATAAATCAAAGATTAATTTTGTATGTGACAGCAGGCAGTGGAGTGAAACTTTGGACGCTAAACTTAACTTGAAGCAGAAAGAAGCAGTGGTTGCAATCACTACTCCAGTCAGCATCCCACTTCCTCCTATACTCATCATTGGTAAATAAATTCTTTACGGTCTCAAATATATTCATGCTCACAATTCTTAGTCAATAAATTATGTCCTTACTCATGTTTCTTTGGTGACTCAGACATTTATGGTTTTTTTATACCAGTGTTGGGTAGTATTGTGTGACATATTTTGCTGTGTGAGAGTAGCAGCGTTATGTGTTTATGAAGTATCTAAGACCATGCACAGTAATATTGTAATATTTGTGTATATTTTTGCTCCTCAATTATTCCAAATCCAGCTAAATGTCTTTTCCACAGAATCAAACAAACCGAATGTGGGTTTTAAACTGTAAAATCAATTTCCCAACTAATATTGAATGTAATTTGAAAACAGGGATAGCTGAAGGAACTTTTATAATTACTCGACATTTTATAAAATATATGAGCCTCTACCACTTTGAATAATATCAAATCCTTTATTTGAAATCATTTTTGTGATGGTAAGTCAATGTTATTTGAGGGAACATTGAAGACAATGTCTATCATGATTAGAAATATCAAGTTTGGTGATCTGAAATTTGATCCTGTTCTCAAGGGAGAAAGTACCCAAAACATAGCAAGCCAAGTATCAATGAACACAGCCGAAGCTAGAAAATCACCCAAAGAAATGTAAAGTAGAGCCTAAAAACCTGAAAGAAAATATCAATTAGTATAAATAGAGGGTAGGGAAAAAGAATTGGCGTGTCTGCACAAAATATGCAAAACTCAATATTGTTTTTCTTGTTTTGACTACTGTATAGTTCTCTGTGTGAGTTTCTTATTGCAACATTCCACCTTTGCCTACGTTTATGTACAGTAGACTCCCTCTTATCCGGACTCCTCGGGACCGAGGCCAGTCCGGATACCGGTTAAACCGACGTCCCCAAAAATTCATAAAAACGGATTGTTTAAATGCGTATTTGACTTAAATTTACGAGATGTATTTAGACACGTGATCACTGGTCTCAAATATTTCACACGAGAACGGTTGTTTTAGTACCACCCACTTCTTCCGGTGCTGATAAAAATTGTCTGGCTAAAGAGATGTCATTTCCGCCGAGTGTATTCCGGTGTCCGGATAAGAGGGAGTCTACTGTACTTACTAATCCTGTTAGATTTTACGCACTTTATCACTTGAGGACAAGGTCAGATTCCACGTTCTGTAACATTGTAAAAACCTTTTTTATTACTATTAGTGATTGTCATCTGCAGCAATCCCTTCAAACATTATGAAATGTTTACCGATTGTTGTTTTACCAGGTCCATTTGGCACCGGCAAGACGTACACTCTGGCACAAGCCATCAAAGAAGTGCTGCTGCAGCCAAACACTAGAGTGTTAGTCTGTACACACTCCAACTCTGCTGCTGATCTGTACATCAAGGACTACCTCCACCCCTACGTAGAGGCAGGTCACGAGGAGGCGAGACCACTCAGGATATACTACCACAAGCGCTGGGTCGCCACCGTCAACCAGACTGTACAGAAGGTGAGCTTTATAGGGTAGCCGAGTGGTTATGGCGTTCAGTTGTTTATCAGAAAATCACCGATTCAATTAAAAAAAATATTGTTTGTAGCTTTTAGATGATTCATATTTGACTTGATGATTGAGGTCTGGATAAATGATTCTAGTTAAAGAAATAGTAGGGTTTTAGTAAGTAAAGGTGCTGTACAAGGCATTTCACACGTCAATCCACACTATATCCTACCTTAATACAGTAGACTCCCTCTTATCCGGACTCCTCGGAACCGAGGCCAGTCAGGATAACAGTTTTACCGGTTAAACCACAGTCCCAAAAAACTTGTTAAATCAGACCGTTTACTGTGATATTAGACTTAAATTTAGGAGATCATTGTATTTTGACACATGATCACTGGTCTCAAATCTTTCCCACGAGATCAGTTGTTTCAGTACTGCCCACTTCCTGCCGATCTAGACCGGTTAAACCAATGTGCTGATAAAAATTTTCCTGCTAAAGAGATGTCATTTCCGCCAAGTGTAGTCCTATTAAACTGATGTCTGGTTAAAAAGTGTTCGGATAAGAGGGAGTCTACTGTATTTGTGTTAAAATACTCCAAGTTGCGTCCCCATCTTAGTTAGTAATATAATGGTAATAATAACATATTTACGGTTTTTTTCATGCTAATTTTTTGTTCATGATTTGCATCAGGGTGAGAACACAAAATGGTGTGGTTCTTTTAATGTTTCTAACTACTGTATTGGTTATAGAATCTCAATTTTAACTCTTTTATACATCACTCACCCCCCACCGCTCACTGCTCTACCCAAGGTTTACAATGGGGTGAAAAAGCAGAAGAGAATAATTAATTGCGTTTCTTAAATGTACTATTGAAAAAAGTTACAAACCAATTATTGGCTACAAACAAAGCTTGACTGAACAAATTTGCTTTATTAAATTACAAATGCACAGAGCTTTTGGGGTGGATTAAGTTTAATCTGATCAGCAGTTTGAATAAAGTGAACATTTATTAAAATACTAGCTGTACCCGCGGGCTTTGCCCCGCTTAACTTCATAAGTATTCGCATGGCTCAATCACGTCCTGGTTGAAGTTTGTTCTCTACGCTCACTCACCTTCTGGTTGGAAATCGTTTGCTGCGCTCACTTGTTTTCAGGTTAGCTCGTTCGCTACGCTTACTCGCCTCCAGGTTGATTTTCGTTGGCACGCTCACTCACCTTTTGGTTGCAAATTAGCTGTTGTCATAAATTAAAAAATTCATCCCTTTTATTGTTTATAATACAGTACTTTGATAAAGGTTTTTATGTTTTAATATTTAACATTGGAGAATTTAAACGTTGTTCAGTGCACAGGTGTGCTGAGATTGGGGTTTAATACATTTGGACTTATTCAAAAGTAAAATAGTTTTCTGTGCTGCAATCTGTAGAAACACTGTGGCACTATTTCAAATCATGACTAATTCTAATACAGAATGTTGTGATTATTCAAACCTACAAAACAGTTGGTGAAAGTAAACATCTGCTTTTAAATTATATTTATTTGTAAACATTGTAGATCAAAAAGTCTGACATTGGCCCACTTAAAACCCTCTGGGGCAGAGCCCTTTTGATAGATCTGCACCAAACTTCACTCGAACCATCCTTGAAAGATGCTTAATAATGCCTGAAAGTTTCATTACAATCTGTCTAGCGGTTTCGGAGTCCATAACGTATGTACACACACACACACATACATACATAGTTCCTCTTTTATAGATATAGATAAATAGTGCAAATGTAAGTAATTGTAATTTTATTTGTTATTCGAACCAATATTTTCTTTCCAACGCTGCATCTTGAATCTTAAAATCCACAGTGCTCAGCCTGGGGGTCTTTTTAGAACATGAATAGGCTTATGTGGAGGCTGGGTTCATGTTGTATTACTTTGTTACATATGAGGTTCAGTTAGTCCAGTAGTTTGTGCAGTTACTCGGAACAAACAAATAAACACACAGTAAGCAGGAACCACCTCTACTTTTAATGTCAATAAAAAACAAGACTGATTTGTTGTCAATGTAATATAATCTTTTTCCCAGTATTGTCTGATCGAGAACAACAATGGAGTAAGAACATTCAAGGTCGCTACGCTGCAAGAGATCATGAAACACCGAGTTATCGTAGTGACCCTCTCCATCTCCATGAACCTGTCCAACATCGGGCTAAACAAAGGTAGGCTAAACGCTCAACCAGATTAATGTGATTATAGTTTCTAAATAGTAGTGTTCGTAGAATGAGTACCCAAATACAAATCGAAAATAATAAAATAAATTATCATGATGAGCTTTTAATTTTAATTACTGAAGAAATCATAAGGGTTTATCCGCCATAAATATGGATTATTCGTATTAAGCTACAACTATTCAATTAGTGTTTGTAACAGATCTGAAAAAGTGTTGGTGATGTTTCCTTATAAAGCGTAAATTATTCCTTACAATCACCTACATAATCAATTTCTGACAAATTCTTATACCAAGAATCAAATCAAATCAAATACATTTATTTCCATTCGGTACAATAAAGTACAATAGGATAGGTCAGATTGCATTTCACAAATTGTTATGAAGCAAATTAGAAATCTCTTTAGACATCTAGTTCGTCTCCCATGAGTCATACAAACACATTCTGAAATGTATTGCAATAGTATAGGGTGGAGAAAAAACAGCAAATAGATTAAAACTATGTGCATACTGCACAGTACGGTATAACCTTACTTACTTAGTAATATAGAGGGAAGTATTGATTTTGTTTAAGGTTAGAGCGTCTAGTTTTGGCAGAAATGGTAAAGTGGACTATATACTGCTCCATGGTTTTTCTTTTAAACAATAACAAATTCCACTATAAACTATTATATTCTGTTGAGTTGAAACTGTCCGTGGTTTTCAGGACATTTTTCACACATTCTGCTGGATGAAGCTGCTCAGGCCATGGAGTGTGAGGCTATCATGCCTTTGGCTCTGGCTAACGAAGACACTAGAATAGTCCTGGCAGGAGACCATATGCAGGTCAGTTATATTAATTCGCCGAATGCTGTGTTTTTTAGCCGTCTTGCCGCAACAACTGGAAAATACATCCCTGTTTGATCTTAAGTATCATACTAACATTCAAAATTGTTAAATAACTGTTTCACACCATTAACATTTTTTTAAATAGTGAACTAATAATTGTCTTTTTTCAGCTAAGTCCAGAGTTGTTTTCACAACTAGCCAAAGAACGTCAACTGCACGTGTCCCTGCTTGAACGACTTTACGACCACTACCCCCCAAACTTTCCTTGCAAGATACTTCTCTGTGAGAACTATCGAGCCCATGAGGCCATTATTCAGGTATCTGTTATTCTTTCACTTAATTATTTTCAAAATTGTCTTTTATAACTGAGACATATTCGCTTGCTGCAATGTAACACTTCTTTTAAGTCATTATATAAACAAAACAATCAAAATAGATCTCTACTTGTTTGTTCACTAAAAAAATACAATGTATAAATGTTGGACTGGTTCTTATAGGTATTAGAAAAATCAAAAACCGTTTAGAATATCACCATAGTAGTTAATAAAAGTATGTGGTCACAATTAATTGTTATTTATTTACAGTTTACTTCTGAGCTGTTTTACGACCAAAAACTGATAAGCAGTGGGAAGCAACCAAAGCATGATAAGTTTTATCCTCTAACATTTTTCACCACTAGAGGAGAAGATGTACAAGACCACAATTCCACAGCGTTCTACAACAATTCTGAGGTAAATTTTAACTTTTGTGCTTTATTCATTAACAGTTTTTATTGGCTATGTGTAAAAACCTCGCTAATATACTTTTGATTGTCTTTCCTTAGCATAGCAATGATTGGTTTGGTTCGTTATCTCTCTTCTATACGTTCTATATGTCCTATATGTCCTCTCCCCCACTCCATTCCACCTACATTTGATTTTTACTACTGACAAATAGCAACTATTCTTCTCCTGAACCTAATCACAACAGATCTTTATGTCAAATCAATGTGCAAAGATTTTGCAGAACAGTTAATCTGAGTTACAGCTCAACTCTTACAAACTGTGTAATAACAAAATGAATTCAGCATTCTATGAATTAATCATCACTCCATCTAGTCATTACTCCATGTAATGCTAAGTCAAGGTCAAATGAGCAGTTTGTGTGCTTGGTGTCCAGGTGTATGAAGTAGTCGAGCGAGTATGTGAGCTGAAGAAGCGGTGGCCAGTCGCGTGGGGCAAGCTGGACGAACACTCCATTGGCATCATGACCCCGTACGCTGACCAGGTGTTCCGCATACGCTCGGAGCTCAGAAAACGGAGGATGGGTGGCATATCGGTGGAGAGGGTGTTAAACGTGCAAGGTCAGTCTGGATATTAATTTAAACTATTCTCAGTAAAAATAGTTTTAGTTTTGTATTCATAGTTATCAGTTGTTGAACCTTGGGCCTATAGCTTACTATGTTATAACTAATCAACCATCTAAGTCTTTACTTTTTTTTTTGTTTATCAAGAGGCAATTGAAAGAAATTGAGATATCAAGTTTATACTGGGTATTCTTCTTAGTTTCAATGAGGTGTGTCATTAGACCGAATTCCATTGAAATCTGAGATGGTCAGGTAAAATTTTATTAACCTTTGAAAGGTATCGTCATACAGCATGACGCTAAGGGTATCAATACGTAAATTTGACGTACTTAGGAATTGCATAGTAAGGCATCGTCATACAGTGTGATACTAAGGGTATTAATACGTAAATTTGACGTACTGCCGGCCGTGTTACCATACACAAGCCGGCCATTTTACTAATGACTGCTGAGAGCACTGCCAGAAGGAAGGTATTGTCGGTTGAGGGGGTGGGGGGTGAGACGCTAAAAATAACTCCCACTACGCCAAATTTACGTGGGATACCCATCTAGGGTTAAAACTCTGTTTTAAATAATTTATTTTTCTATTAAGATTTTTTATTTTTTAAATAATGAAATTCAATTTTTTACATCAAGAGGTTGTTGACAGGCAAGCAGTTCCGAGCGGTGTTCCTGTCAACCGTGAGGACGCGGCGGACATGTGATGCAGATGCAGGTAACAAGAGCAGAGATGAGATGGACTACGGGTTCCTCAGCAACAGTAAGCTACTCAACACTGCCATCACCCGGGCTCAGAGTCTGGTGGCTGTGGTGGGAGATCCTGTAGCTCTGTGTTCCATAGGTCGCTGCAGGTCAGTGCAACAACATACAGTGACGTTAACTCTTCAATGCGGGATTTTTTAACGACCCTGCTACGGTAGTTATTTTTCCCAAATGGCGCCAAACCATCCCTTGTTTTGCCCTCCGCTGTTCGGCATAAGTGTTGGTGACTGGGTGTTGGAAAGTTCATGATTCATACTTTCATCATGAAAATAGAATTTTAAAATACCTAGAGGGCTATCAACTTGAATTTCAGGTCCATATTGACAACTAAATGGTTCATAGTTTACTCATATGAAAACATTTAATCTGTCTCTGTCGTACTCACTACGATTGGGAACAGCTAAAAAGCAACTAATGAACAAGGTCCTATAATATACAATCTTAGACACAATATTTCCATGATTTGTTGTCTGATGACACCCCCTACCGGGTTACGTCATGACGAGCGGGTCTCGTCAAATCGTAAGAGTGACTTAACACGTGACAATAAAGGCTCATCAAACTGCATTTAAGGGTTAGTTCAAGAATAATCCCTTACAAAAAAGATTTCCTGCATGTTTCCAACAATTCAATTCACAATCTTGTTTATATTGGCTATGTGATTTTTTCTGTTGCAGAAAAGTCTGGGAGCGTTTCATAGAGATCTGTAACAGCAACGACAGTCTGTACGGCATCAAATGGTCGTATCTGCGGAGTTTACTCGATGGCGTGGAGCTCAAAAAAACGTACACCCTGAACCCCCTAGCACCCGAGTTTATTCCCAGACAGTTCCAGGCAGAAACATACATTCGGCTGCCGTCCATTCTGGGCATCGCTCCAACCATGAGGTATACAATACAAAGTATTCACCATGAAATGCAATAAAAGAGGAAAATGCACTTGAGCATTTCTCTTGTAAGAGATCTAGTAGACCTTAAATATTTGTTCGAGCGCGATGAATTCTAGTTAATCATCTTGAGGGTGGTGAGGCTGTAACCAAGAGAAAATGATTCAGCTGTGAGAGGTTTTCTCCCCTGTTAGTTTAATTGAGTAAAATATCGCTTGAAGCTGTACGCACTCTCTCAACCAGGCCCACAATCCTCAAATCTGTCTACTTCATGGCGCTCTGCGTTAACATTTTTTTTACTACATTCATTAAGTGTGAGCAGTATCAAAATTAGTTTTGAGTAACCAAGTACAATTAAATCTGAATTGTCTGACATTCTTTAACTCAAAACTTTCTTTTAATAAACCTTTTATAAACACCAAGTAGCACCAAAATATTCTTCAAGTGCTATAGATAGATGTGTGATTGTGCCTTTTTTATCATTTATGTCAAAATGCCAACTCAAATATGTTCTCAAAGATTATTTCTCAATGTTAACCCAAAGATAACAAGGGAAAATAAGTAGGCCTAAACATGTCTTTATTTTGTATGTTCAGATTCTATTTGATTCGTGTAGTAAACGTTGTGTTTTTATTATGTAATTTTGGTCCTTTGTGTTTGGTAATATTTTTTTTAAAAGAATGTTCTTTTGTATTTTATCTTTGAATCTACGTTTTCATAAGTTTATCTCTGGTTCTTGTGAAAAGGGTTATTTAGTATTAATGTTCAAACATTCAGCTATAATCAATAACCCTACAGGGACTTGGTCGCATACGTGTTGGCTTTCAGACTACTGTCATTAGAATGTATTTTTAATGCTTTTTTTATGAAAATAACTTTTCAAGTAGCCTTTTGAAACTGTGCTATGCTGTCTTTGATCATTGTATGTTTAATAAATGATCCAAATAAAATCATCAGTAAGATAGATCATATTTAACACTCTTCCTTTGATCATATTTACCTTAAGAAGTCTCCCTGGTGTGTCATTGCAAATTTTTTTATACAGATAAATTCTTGCACTAGATGTATAATGAAGGTAAAATGTCCACAGGTTTGTCGCACCATATCTCCCGCCCACCCCTATCTACCCTGTGCCGCCCCACCCCGCCTACTTCCCGTCCTACCAGCCTCCACCCACATCCTTCTACCCTCCCCGCCTGCCCCCGGCGCCGGGCCCCTGGGGTGTAAACTACCCACAGATGGTGTCTCCGGGAGCTTGGGTCAAGAAGAAGCAGGAGCTGTCTCCCACTAGACGGGAGGAGGTTCGACCTCCGCCTGGGCTGGTGCCTCCACCACCTCGAGGTCCTGCTTTCTCTCAGCCTCAACTGGTTGGTATTTGGTAATATTTAATTTTTATAGGGGTAGGGGTACAGCTTGTTGGCTTCTTGTAGCCTCCCCTGAATAAGTCAATAGACCTTAATCAAGAATCCTAACAGCTATAGGTCAAGCATTTCTTTTATTTTGTTTTAATTCTGAACATCGTTTAATTTTTTTAAGTTGATGCACCACTGTCTCACTCAGTCTTTGTTAATTACTCCTTTGCCCTAAGAATCACAAATCTGTTAATAAATTTAAATTGGCTTGTGAGTTTCCAGTTAAAATTCTATCACAGAACCCTCCTCACGACTAGTGGGACAGTACAATAACAGCACTCATCATGTTAACACTTCAATTCAGATAAAGTTTGAGAGATATGATGTACACACTACTAGCTGGATGTATACCGAGTGTAGGAGTGCTCTGAAGTTAAGATAGCATTGCCCCATGAGCCGATGCAAAGTGTCTTGTTAAGTTCTGGACAGCCCTTGTTGTAGGTGTGCAAGCAGCTCAATTTTCGAGTAAAGCCTAGCCTACAAGCTCTGGAGAACCGAGCACCAAGTCTCGAGCTCGAGCCAAGCTTTTACAATCACTATGTTATCGGCAAAGATAGTGTGATTGAAAAATTCACATTTTTGGCGTGGTGGCGAGTGACACCAACGCGGAAGATGATTATGATATTTCTGTTATCGCAGTTATATTCAGGATTTTCTGTGATCGCGTAAAAGGATGATATTTTTCAGTGAACATCATGAAAACATTGGCATTTGAAGAAAATAAAATCAGACTCAAGCTTTTATTAAAATCCAGGCTTTATTAAAAATCTTAGGGTCACACACCTCTAGCCCTTGTACATTTGACTATAGAGAGTAGTAAACATCCCAGTCCCATGTTAAAGCTGTTACCAATTTTTACCCAGGTGAGGCCTAGTCCTACGAGCCCTAACCAGATGATAGAGGCGGGGCCATTTCTCCGCTCCCCCCCACTTGCCGCCCCCACCATGATGGAGCAACAGAGGCGGGTAACTTCTGCGTTTGACAAGGACCAGATACAGTTCCTACACAATGTACACTTCCCAGAGCGCCAGGTAAAGAATCTTCTTGTTCTTAATGTTGTAAAACATTTTAGTGTCATTTTTGCTTATTTGTTATTGTTTTATATATTTATTTATTTTTTGTGTATATCTACGTCCAAGACATTTGTTTCGCTTTTTAAGAGACGGTCCAAACTGTGGTCTTATCACTGTCTAAGGTTGACCTTTTATTAGATAGCATAATTAATTGATAGCCAATGACGAATGGTATCTAGGTTACAATCTCGCTGCCAATCAAACCAGCGACCTTCAGATTTGAAGGCGAGCACTGCAACTACTACTTGACTAACTAGACAATTGTTGACTAGCCTGATAACATAGCGTCATCTTAAAAAAAAGCACGTTTTCAAATTCATTTTTAAGATTGATACAAAGTTGTTGCATTACAGGGTATCAACGGGTTGACAGTGAATGGACTAACATTGAACGGATTGTTGCCCACGGACGTGTCTATAGGAGAGTTGGCTGAGTCTCAACAGAAGCAGCTGGAATGGTACTCTCATCTGTTGGACACTGTGGGAGTGGACGCTGCTGTCAAGTGAGTCATACAGCAAACTCTGCTATGTTGTCATTCTTACTGGTTTCAACCTTAATTTGAGTGATTTTGTGAACATTTTCCATCTCGATTAGTAAACATTTTTTACTCTTTTCTGGATTCAAATAGTGACTTTGTCCTCAGGTGAGAAGGGCCTAAAACATACAATGATTTTCCAAAGCTGACAAAATAACTTTCTAGCTTTTTCTAGTTATGCCCACTAATATTATACTAGTACTAATATTGTTAGTTTTAGCGAATTTCCCTATAGGGAAGTAGCTATTACCGTAGGTCTCATGGTAAGACTTAGGCCCGGGACCGATTTACTTTTTCATTTTGATGTCCCCAGAGGCCAAAAACACCACACGTTCAAATATTATATATATACAATAAGCCTTCAAACAATTCTAAACACGGCTGTGAACCATGTCACAAGCCCCGATGTGGTATTTGCAAAATTATGAGTAATACAACTGAATTTGATAGTAAAGTTACAAACAAGGTTTATCCGATTGTTGGTAGATCAACTTGTGAATCTCACAATGTGATTTATCAACTATCGTGTAAACATTGTCCAAAAGATTACATTGGCCAGACTTCAAACTCTTTAAGAGTTTGAATGACAGGCCATCGTTTTGATGTGGTACATGAAGACAAAAGAAAACCAATCTATAATCATGCCGCTCACCACAACCAAAATTTTGAAGGCTGCTATACCCTTAAAGCCCTTCACAAAGTAAACCCACATCAAAACCCTAAATGCAACCAACTGGTTTTAAGAAATTCTGAATTGGCTCACCAGTTGGTACTGAAAACAAAGTTCCCCTCTGGTTTAAATTTAAGATAGTAAAAAAGTGATTCAACTCAGCTGAATTTTTAATTTTTTTATTTTCTTTGATCTGTACTCAATCATATGTTCTCAAAATTCAACGATTTGTAAACAGTTCATATTTATTTGTTTTGTTCATCTTTACATTTTTCATTCTCTTTGTTTGAAAACGTTTGTATTTAACGAAAATTTGCAATGTGTCATGTTTCATTCATCATAAACTCTATCAAGATCTCCTCAAGAATATATATATATATGTGTCCGTGAACACGATAACTTGAGTAATTTTTATCCGATTTTGATGAAATTTGGTTTGAAGGTGTAAGGCGGGATAAACTGAATAAGTTCGCGATCCAGCATGATCGGACCATGGGAACAGGGTTTTATGGGGGGTTTTATGGGGTAAAAATTGGTTTTTCTCACTTTTGACCCTCAAAACACAACATTTCCCAATTTTTATCTAAACCTTCTTAAAGAGCTTAAAAAAACGAACAATTCAGTATATCAAAGTGTTTTTGTACTGTTATTGGTTACAGAGAAAACTAAAAAAATGGTAAATTTAAAATTCTCATGTTATTCTTATGGAGAATATTGTAAAATGTTGTAGTTTGCTTGTTTATGGATATCTTTTGATCAAACTTGGCAAATATATTCATTTTATACTAAGCAATAATTATTTTACTTAAAACACATACTTTATTAGTTTCCTTGTAGCAGCAAACCTAGGTACTCGTTAAACCTAATGTTATTTAAATAGATCGATTGAAAATCAATTCAGCCAAATGGAAATTCGCTTAGGCGTCAGGTTTGCTGTGACGGGGGTATTTTCCTAATAGTTTTGATAAATAGAACCTGCAATATCCCCTAGAACATAAACTTAAAGTAACAAAAAATTTAACTTCAAACAAACAATGGTTTGAATTGTTTAATTATTTTTACTAGTTACTTTGTAAATATAAATTGAAGTAATAAACACAGCTTTGAACAAAAGATCAGCAAGTGTTGTTTGAATGTATTTCAAAATAATATATCACAAATTTTCAGGCTGTAAATTTACTATTCTCACTGTAAATTGCATTCAAAGAAATTGATTTGAATAGAAGCCATCATTATAAAAAATTAGCTCTAAGAACTAACTTTTTTCTCGGTGTAATAAATAACCTTGTTGAGTAATACATGTACAACTTGTTACTGTGGCAGATTCTCTGAGTTGATGGCCATGGTACCACGCAAGCAGGCCGCTGTCCTGTCTGAGATAAGAAGCGTAGACGACATGTTTGCTGACAAATTTACCAGCCAGCCCTTACCAAACGGTTTCACCCATGTTCCACCGGTATGATGTAGCAGGTTCTCTCACTTTGAATTGTGATGTTATTGTATAATCTTGACTAATTTAGATTGTTTTACAATTTATTATTTTTTTATTTAGTTTAGAATGAGCTTAGGCCTATGTAGGCTAACTTGATTGTCTGATCTCGGGGGTGTTGTGGTTCGTGTGAGGCTGAATAGGTAATTGAACCTGTTTGTATAAATATGTACATTTAATTAACTCATTTCAATAAAAAACAATAAAAAGCTTTGATGAAATTAGATTAAGTTACTTAAATGACATTATTACATAATTAGGTTAACTGCTGATTCAACAGACTTCTGACAATAATAACAACTTCTGACAGGATGTTTTGATATTTAAAAAGAAAGATCCAACAATGGATTTAAATTTCCTAAGTTACATTACTTAAATAGTACTCATCTTTATCTCAGCAGTGTTGCAAGTGAAGATCCTTCCACCACTAGGCACATGGCGTCGGGTGTAGAGAAGTCTTCCTGGGAAGTGAGGGACAGCAACTTCCTTTCGATGTAGATATCGCCTAAAATCTCGTCACAAGAAGACTGGTACTTGATATACGATCACGGGGACGAAATACAAATAAGTAGGGATGGTCAAGTCTCGAAATTTCGGGAAATTTCCGGGAAATTTTCAATCTCGTTACACGAGACGAGATTACTTTTTGGCCGAGATTTTTATCGAGACGAGAATAAAAAAAAAAAAAAAAAAAAAAAATTAAAAACGCCTGCAGAAAGTCAATGCAATACCCGCAATACAGGAGCGTGTTGTAGTTGTGTTTCCTTTTCGAAGGCGTTCTTATTTAATTAATTCTTTTAATGTAAATATTACTTTAATTCTTTTAATGTAAATATTACTTTCATTATTTTAATAATATTACTTTAATAACATTTGAGAAGTTTTGTTAAGTGTAAGCAGTGTGAGGAATGTTTTATTACTATAAAAAAAGTCAAAACAAGTAACTATTTTATAAAAATTAATATTGCTTTTATTTTATGATTTATTTTATTTTAGGATAAGTTGAACTCTATCCTAACTGATATCACCATTTGGGGGAGCGAGCTGGCGTAGTGTGAGGTCCCGGGTTCGATCCCCGCCAAGTCACCAATGGATTTTATCTAAGTGATAATGCCGCAACCCCTAGGTCTAGCCTGAAGTAATGTGAAAAACAATCCCAGACTCGTGCCTAGCGTCCTTAGGACAAAAAAAAAAAACTGATATCACCATGTTTCCTAATCGTAGGCATTTTTAATAGGTTAGGCGTGATTAATAAAAAAATGTTATGCTGATGTTATTTAATGAAAGATTGTAAATATTCTTGCCTATTATCATTATTTTAGTATTTAAACAGTCATCTAACAATGTTACAAAATCAGGTAAAAATTTCGAACGTGCATTTCCCGTTGTGTATGAGAAGAGAAATCTCGTCTCGATCTCGTCTCGAAATTTTATGAGAAATAAAAAATCTCGTCTCGTCTCGTCTCGAACTAAAAATCCAATCTCGTCCATCCCTACAAATAAGTTAAAGAAATATTCTGATTGACGATTCATCCGTATGATCATTGTTGAGTAACGCACTTCCCTCACCGCAAAACGGCGATGCCCCCTCTCTGGTGGCTCGTTGACGAATAACCTCCCTCTCTTCCCTCTCTACTGTCCGTCTAGCCCGATTTTAGTTCTACTCCCCCCGTTAGGAGCGCTGTCCAACGGAAACGGAAACCAACCCAAAGGCTCTCGAAGCTTCTACATCTTTCTAGAACCGGACACAGAAGTTACCCAGAGTGCTCTGAAACCTTCTAGCATGTTCTCGGACAATCTGGAAGGTTGTTCAACCCCCCCCGCTTTGTACTTGAACTTGTTGGCGGTTTCTTCCGAATTTGAATTAACATTATTCTTTTTTCCAGTTTAATTAATTAATTAATTTTTTAAATATGCATCAACCCATTACTCTGACAAGTTTGCTACATAATTAATTGAGCTTTGATGACATTCAATTCTGTGATCATGTTAATTATCACAGTTAATTTGTAACTAAGCCGTACTCAAGCAAGTACTAAATTGAGTTGTAATTTAAATAGTGATATAAATGATTTAGTTCTGTCAATTACGTCGACTTTTCAACCGAGCCAAACTGAATGAACTTCCAATTGAATAATCAACTTCAACTATAGCATCTTTTTTGTCACATCAAATATCACAGTAACATAAACTAAGAGAGAAACCCATTTTTATATGCTGCGAGTGGCTGATTTAACTTATTTAAAAAAAAAACTAAAAAAAACTTGGATGGAGTTGGATTTTAACTTATTTGCCACAGCTGGTCCTTGTTGAGTTTGATGTAACTGTGACAGATGATTGATGGGTTGGGAGCTCGGCCACACACTTGGTTCCTGGGAGAACTGCCCAAGGATCAGCCACAGATACTGCCTGTGATAGACTGCACCAGTCTGCAACATCAGCAGCAACTGCAGGCGTTGCAGAACCTGCAGAACCTGCGGCAGCAACAGCAACAACAACAGCAGCAACAACAGCAGTTGGCGACCTTAGCTGCGGAGGCCAGGTGAGATTAGGTGGTATAGTTAGCCATCAGGAATGTTGGGATAACAGGCTTAACTGATCCATCCCGGAACAATACACATAAAGACTTTACACTGTACACAGCCTGTTTTGATTCTCTTCAAACTTTTTAAATGCTTGATTTACCTTGTTTGATGAACAGAAGCAGTAAGTATGACAAATCATTACGTATGTGTGAGGAAGTAATTGATTTTTTCTCCTGTCAGTAGTCTATAAATAGTTAACTCTAAGAATCACTTTTCAGGGTGCCCACCGACCGGGAAAACTGGCAATTATGCGTGATTTTTTTGAACGGGGAAAAAACCGGGAGTTATGCGTGAATTTTGTATTTTACCAGGAATATTCAGTTTGCCGCAATCGCCCATGAAAATCTCGTTTCCCTGACTGCGGGAGACGACGATGACATTTCCGTGATCGAGGGAGACGATGATGACGTTTCCGTGATCACGGGAGACGATAATGAAGTCAACGTGGCCACATGATTTGTTGGTGATTTTGCCATGATCGCGCATAACTATGATACTGTAATCTCCCTTTTACAAATCCTACTTGGTGATCCTCTATACGTTACTTGTGTATTCCTCGAGGCGTTTTTTATGAATTTTTGATAATACTTTATACCCATGATGACTGAGCAAAGATATTCCTTATTTATTTTGATTTATTTATTTTTGAATTTATTTTGAACAAATTATTTGTGGTACATAGTATAATTGAAGTATTTTTTTGAGGTATTTTATGACATTATGAATAACTGGAATAAGTGTGTATCTCACAATAATTTTGTTATTTTCCTAAGGTTTGACCTGGCCAGTCCGTGGGGCGTGGACACTGGAGCTACAAGCTCTGTTCCACTCTACCGTCGCCAACCGCAGAACCAGCTGCCAGACAACACAATGAACGGTCTCATTGGCGAAGAGAAGTCAGTCAATGGTACTTCGGGAGCTTTTGCCGGCTACGCCAGGGCAGCCATCAGTCTGCAGTCCAGGGAAAATGGGGTTCACTCCAGGGACAGCAATTCATATCAAGATCCAGACTCTGGGGATGAGTTGTTGGCAAACATCCACCGGACGACGACCTACGCTAGTGTACTGCGCACGCAGGGCAAGTCTAACTCTAACTCTCCGACGGAGGAGAAAGGAGATCCATTTGCGGTTTTGAGGGAGTTGGGAAACAAGAGCACAACTTCGGGGCTATATCATTACTTCTCTTAAGCTGCTCCCTCTTGGTCTAGGGGTCTTGGGCAACCCACAGTGAATGTTACGCTTTTTATTATTCCTCTTTATCAGTATTTTCTTTCTTTCGATTATAAATTTGCTTAGATTATTTTAATGTTCATTAAGTTTATGTTATAAAGTTTTGAATGTATAATCTCAGGCAGCAGAATGATACATTAGACACTCTTTTAACTGATCATCACTGGTCAGACCTATTACAAAAATATTGGGATCTTGCGAACAGGTTTTTAATGAGATGAGACCTCCCTCCCTACTATATAAACTTTGATCGGGTAACAATAATTATATGTTTTTGAATACTTAGCATGAGGGAGATGTTGATTTAGCAGGTCTGTTGCCTGTTAGGCTAATAATACTCTGATCTCAGAAGCGAGCTAGTATAGTGGTAGGGCAGGTGGCATCGGTCCCCGAGGTCCTGGTGTTAAAATTCCATCAATCACCAATTCATTATTTTATCCATGAGATCATTCAATTCAATTCCATTTTTTAAGACAGCGTCTCTCATTTTTGTTTGTTATTCAAGCTGATTATTTTATCCTGAACCAATCTGTACCCGTTCTGGAGCTGGAGTCTTGCTGTATAGGTGGGACATTGTGAAAATAGAAAAAATACTCTGATCTCGAGATGGCTGGTTAAGAAAGAGTCTAATGTTGAAAAACTCTCCAAAATCTCTTTACAGACTTAACTTTTCAATCTGTTCTGAACTAATCGTCCAGTAGTGAATATTATGAATTTAGATTAACCATCAGTTATTTGCCTAGTGGAGGATATGATCGTATTCAATATTAATAAATAAACGAGAAGTTATCAAATTGTATTCACATTTTTCTGATGCATTTTTACTTGTAGAGATGTTAACATCACTAACACATCACTTGAGAGTCATTTATACATTTCATCATCTATAGTTCTTGTGGTAGTCCATGAGGCCCCTAGATTTCCTTTTAGCATGTATTTATGTGTGTTACTGTACCAAGTATCGTCGAGTTCTGTTTATTGTATGTATTGTAATTGTATTATATATAGAGTGAAACTAGTACTCCGCACATCCCTTGTGTAAAAGAAAAATATGAAAAATATAAAAAAAATTTGAAAATAAAAAAAATTAAAAAACTATCTCCTTAGCCAATGTATTTGGTAAATAGATTATTTTATACTATAGTTAATCAACATTATAATCACTGTATGTATTAAATATTATATTATGTATTTAAGAGATTAGTTTTCAGTTAGTGAGATTTTATGTTCTATCGATGTTGTCAGAAACAAATTATAAATATTCATCTCATTTGATTGTTCATTTCTGTATCCATTACCAAAATTCAGTTTATTACAATTTCCTCCTTAGATGTGTCAGAAAAGGGAGAGAATTAAAACTGGTGATTAATCTTGAAGGCAAAATGCATGACAATATGAAACACGTGTCTCAAGTCATTCATCAAAATTGGTTTGTGAATCGGTCTGATACAATATACAATCATAGGAAGGAGATTGAAGGGGTTTTTGATCCTATTCCTTATTCAAAAATAACAATATAGTTGATTAGATTTTAATTCTCATGGATAGTAAATTAATTTATTCTCTTAGACAATTTGTTTAAGGCTTTTGAAATTTAACCTAAACAAACTTTTTTTAGTTTCATCAATTCCATGTACTCAATGAGCCAATGCTATCAATCGTAGTATGGATCTAAAAGAGTAATTTTTCATTTGTAATAAAAACACAATAAATCAATTAGAAAGTTTAATCAGCAGTTGTGCTGCAAGGTGTTCCAATGTCTAAACATGGTATGTGTCACATGAATCTGTTCATATACAGGGTGAGAAAAAGTCCTGTGATAGTTAAATATTTCAAAAAATAATGAAGATAGAGTTAAAAAAAACTTGGTACAACGTTACCGGGCATTAAAATAATTTTAACACATTATTCAGCCTTTAGGAGTTGGAAGAGAATCTTAAATGTTGCATAGGTTGATATGCACATCAAGTTTAAGGTTTTTGTTAGTAAAATACAATGCCGCAAACCCAAACTCAAACGGATATTCGAGTAAAAACTGACAGCTGTTCTAAGATTTCTTGAATTTGCAAAGCTATTATACGCCACCTCCTCAGGGGAGTGCCTGCTAAAAGTCTGAAGAAAATCATAAATGTTAATTTAATTAAATACGGAATGATTCTGACAGTTTTAAGGGATTATTTTAGTGGAAATCTATCCAGGCAAATGGAAATCCACTTAGTCTGCAGGTTTGCTGTGGCGGGGATATTTAATACATGGTGCTTGCGGGTCTAAATTAGCATTTTTACTCCCTAGTAAAAGTCAGCTGTTGTAAAATTTGATTGATGATTTATTAGGATACTTTCTAGCTAATTATTTGCACTCTTGTCAATCTATATAAATAAAATTAGAGTTTTGTCTGTACATTGCTTAGAATAATGAACTTTTTGGTTATTTTTACATTTCATAGGTCAGAGAAACCGAATCAAACCTTATCTCAATTTCTGTCTGTCTGTCTGTCTGTCTGTCTGTCTGTCTATCTGTCATTCTCTTGGTAACGCTAAAATACGCACTTTATTACAACTACTCCTCAATAACTATAGCACTGTCCCGCCTGAAACTTATTTTCCAAATACTATACATATATGAGATGGTTTTAGACGTATTTCATCGAATATGAGACAGTTAGATATTTAACAGTAAACCCTTGAAAATCAAGTTTTTGTCGATTTTTGACGTGGAATTTCTGGAAGCCCATGTTAACCTTATGAGAAATGAAATTATTGAATCTTAACAGCTGTTTCAATTAAACAAGTTGGTTCTGTTCTGTGATGTTCAATAGCATTAAAGTTACAAGGATTACCAACAGGGTGCAGCACTAGCACTATTATTTCTTTTACATTTATGACAACAGCTAATTTGCAACCTGGAGGCGAGTGAGCGTAGCGAACGAGCTAACCTGAAGGCAAGTGAGCGTAGCGAACGAGCTAACCTGAAGGAAAGTGAGCGCAGCGAACGAGCTCCAACATACAGGTGAGTGAGCGTAGCGAACGAACTTCAACCAGGACGTGATTGAGCCATGCAAACGAGATCAGATAGTAAAAATAAAAGTAAGCCTACCGTTATAGGATCGACCGGCAGACACAGAGGTAATTTAACCTTTTATTGATTGTCATACCGATCCGGAACAACAAAAAACAACATAAAATGAAGCTATGTATAATAGTTTGGCCAGCATATCTTAAAATATGCAAACCAACTGCTGTTCTTTATATAAGAAGGTTTCAACTGAATATTATAAGATCCCCGTGCGTAGAACGGGTACACAGCTAGTAGTTTGATATATCCATGGTATAATGTACACTGTACAGTAACACAATCGTAATAGACAAAATGAATTTTGACTTACGAAACAGCTGCTTATTATACATTAGCAAAATTGATAACAAGCTGGATGTCGTTTTGAGAAGTTATCTATACATTTTCGTTTGCTAGCCTAGTTCGTTAATCAATTATGCAATATCAACCCCATTTCAACCCTCACTAATTTTAATTTTCAAGTGAAACTTGAAATCGGGTAGAAAAAAGTAATTTTATTTTACGCCCTAGTGATAGGCGTTCTGATAGAAAAGACCACTGATTTAGTATATGACTGATAGTGTAGGTCTATTAATGCCAAGTAGCTTTGTACCAAGTTTTATATATAGCTCTATATTAATTATTTTTTTAAAAATTTTACTGTCCAGGGACTTTTTTCTACCCTATTTAATCTGATACATGATTGAAGAAATGAAACACTGCACTTTAGGCAATAGTTTTTATTAACTGGATAATATTAAGACAAATATATCTTACAATAAATTAATATAATCTCTTTCTATTTATAAATTATAAACTTTCTGTGGGATAATCTTAAACCTACATCTTAAAAGGTATTAAAAGTCTTCACAAATAAAAACTAACTTATAAACTGTTATTAAATATCTATAAAGCTTAGAAACAAAAAATAATCTCTTATGTAAAAATAAACTTAACCTGTCATAAAAAAATGTAATGAAAATATAAAACTTAAAAATCAAGTCGTTTGTTAAACATTTTTTGTAAGGGTACAAAACCTTTTTTTTATTTAGTCAGGTTTGACTAAAGCTATTTTTCTATATCACTTCATACACATTAAATCAATTTATCTGGAAATATTTTAAAATTGTAAAATCACCTTAATCACATGAAATATTGGACGGTCAAAGCAGTCTTGGATTGAAGAATATAAAATTCTTTTTAAATATTGCAGCTAGCGTTAAGTCTAATGCTACAATCCATGTTAAATACTTACACTAGAAAAACTTTACAATCAAAAAATGTTTGGTAGTGAAAGTTAAGTAAGTAGAATGCAAATATGCTTCTTATCTTCAAGAAAATGATTTTTTTTTCTTAATACAATATAAATTACTATATTAATTAATATTAAATTTTTAAAACCTGTTTAGGTTGTTTTTGCTTGTTACAGAGAAAAGTAGCAAAATGGAATGTGTGTTACTTAACCTACATAATGCTTCACAGAAGCATCTTTCCATTGCAAAAAACATTCAGCTAAAAACAAAAGTTTTTGGAAAGTAGTTGTCCATACATTGGATATAATTGCCATCAACTATGAAAAATTACCTGAAACAGCCTTCAAGCAATTGTTTTGTTTCATAATAATGTTTTTCCAACTTAAATCTACAGTTAAAACCTAAACTTTTCAACCTAGATTGGCGATGATAAGTCAGAACACATACCAAAAGTTTCAACAATAAAATTCACAAAATCCCATCTCCTTGCACTGATAATTACCTTCCCAGAATGTTGCAAGGAAAGTATGAAAAAATTAAACTCTAATGTATTAACTGTTGGATCTTTTAGTTAATGAAATAATAATTAATAATGCTTTTCTTGCACGTTCAACAAATGAACATTGTAACTGTTACAATGATTTTCAGATATTGAATGGAATGACACTGTATCAATATTCTCCTCAGAAGTGAGTGGAAGGAATTATTTTCTCAGAAGTTGAGTAAAAGGAATATTTTCTCAGAAGGTGAGTGGAAGGAATGATTTTGTCAGAAGTGAGTGTAAGGAACAATTTCCTCAGAAGCTGAATGGAAGGAACCATTTCCTCAGAAGCTGAAAGAAAACACGTCGTAAGTCTGCAGCCAGGAGAGAACGATGTACAACACCCAGAGAGTGACCAGGATGAACACTGAGAGATAGCGCATCGAGGCAGGACCTCCGATCTCCGCTTTGCCGAACACAGCGAGGTTACGCCTCAGCACCAGTAGGGTGACGGCAATCACAGCCGCAATGGAGTACATCAGCACGCTGAACCCTAGTGCGCCAGCTGGCACTCGGAAAACTGAATCCTGGCAACAGCAGTGGGGTTGTTTTAGAGGTGAAGTATAACCACAAGTTGTAGTACTTAAACATTGTTTACGAGGTATAAAACAGAGACCTATGTGTCACACCTCTTTTGGTTCTTCTGAGAGGAAAAGTTAAAGTAAAATCATTGAGCATAGATATTAAATTTTGTTTAACTCGAAATTAAGTGAAAAGTTCTCATCTTTCAATAAATGAGATAATCTTCTATGAGTGAGTTTTAGGCAGAGGACTGCTACTAAGTCTCACCACAGAAAAATATTTATTTCAAGGCCAGACTTTCAAGTCTTCTTGGCCCTCCTCTTCACTAATTAGGTTCTCCCAATCAATTTTTGACCCTTAATGTAACCGTGCCTTAATGTTCCATAGTTTAAAAATTAGGTAAAATACTTAAACCATTTTGAGTTTATCTAAATTATTTTTTATCTACATTGGAAGATGATCCGAGGTTACCAGTTGTTGTCTGTGGCTTCAAGTAGGAATATCCAATAATGTAAAACTTAAAAAGCCAAATGTAAAAATACCTACTGTTTCCAGATTGTTTTAACCGCAAAACTTACCCTGAGAGAATGATACGCAGCCGCAACAAACCAAGGCATACCCACACCCATCAACACATTGACTGCAATGCTGCCTGTGATGTGGATCATTGCACCGTCAGCGTAAGCCTCCATCCTAGTCACTGTCCGAGAGGCTAACGTGTCCGGCAAGGATGTACCCAGGGCTACCAATGTAATAGCTGCAAAATCAAACTAACCTGGCTAAAGTGGTAAATAGCAGCCATGAACCAAGGCAACCCCATCCCAAGGAACACGTTAACCGAGTTGCTTCCGTTGATGTTTCCGATGCAGTCGTCAGCGAACTTGCTGTTCAACACGGCTGATCTTGAGGCAAACGTATCCGGCAAAGATGTCCCCAGAGCGACCAATGTAATGGCTGCAAAGAGGAAGGGAAGGTCACTCAATGTTGAATTTTGATGTTTTTGTACAAGCTGGGATCTGCCTTTCCATATTTTAAAAATGTAGAGTGTAAAAGGGTTGTCAAGAAAGTAACAGACGTTTTGCAATTGGGGTGGGGCTATCGCCACCAATTCAGCATTTGAGCATATACCTACAATCAGAAGACCAACCAGCTATAGTAGCTAGCTCATCTCTCTCATAGCTCTCTCTGCAGTGGGGTATTGAAATGAGCGCTATCATTGCAAATCCCCCCACTTCTGAGGTGGCAATCAAACTTTAGTTGGCAAAATGTCTTGAGCCAATTTGAATTTTTTACAAAATTTGTGATGCTCTTATGGTATTGAAGTGATGATTGGAGGCTTCATGATATTAACTTAAAAATGTGGTGTATTAACTTTGAAAAATGGCCAAACTAATGTTTGTCACCACGACGGCAGTGGTAGGCTTAATCTAGTGACTGACGAACTGGTGGGGAAAATCAGTGAAATGTGCTGATTCACAACTATCAAAACTTGGTTGCCACAAATTTTGTCCCCAGTGGTATCCTAAGGTCTTAAGGGGTTATCACAAAAACAGAGACTTGCTGCAGCACTGACATTCCTGGAAGACTGATAAAAGTGGAAAACATTAACAAAACTCATCACAACTTTGCTGTGAACATCACAAATCTGGCGATCAATTCCAATTAACTTGTGATTTTTTGCAAACAAAAATCTAATCACAAAGCCCATCTCATTACTGGTTAGATTCACAATGACAGGGACAGCACTTATTTTAACACTCTATTGCAGACAAATTATGAAAGATGTGATGTGCAGTGCACATTGTGCACGCTACCGTAGATGGTTGCCAACTGAGTGTAGAAAACTTATGATGCAAGGATGGTAGCGATAGTCATCGCCCTCACCAAGTGGTACTGATGCAAAATCTCTACTTCTTTCTGGACGTAGATGCTTGGTATTCTTGGTTGAACGATCAATATGAGTTAGAGTTATATAATTTGCTACTTTCATAAACAGGTAAAAAGTATGACAGCATAAAATCTTCATAACATTGCTTCAAATGTCATCCTTGAATAATTGCTTCAAATAAGACTTTGTAAGACAACTAGCTTATTATAGTTGCATCTTTGTACAATGAACATGTGTAATAGCACAAACTAAGCAGCAGACTTTTACAAGTGTATAACAGTATAAGTACACAGTACGCAAACTAAGCGGCAGACTTTTACAAGTGTATATATAAAGTGTATTATTCAAGTGCAGTACATTTAACAGGCTTTATAGTTTCAGCAAACGTTCTTTCTTGTGTCTGGACAAGAGGAAAAACACAGTATAGTTGAAGTGTCATTGAATTTCTCACTTTGAAATAATGAATTCTTCATAATGACGGAAAAGTACAGTAGCTTACTTTGAAAAAAATTCTTTTTTAGTTTCATCCAAATTATCTGTTAAAAATTTAAACAAAACAGATCTGGGTTAAGAATATAAAATAGGTCAAACTAGTAGACATTACATTTACAAACAGACACATCCAGACATTAGTTTTTCAGCATGGATCTTAAACTGTTGTCTTGTACAATAAACAAATAGGGACACAAGAACAGTTCATTTAAATTTAATTGTAGATTTGCACCATGAGCCCACAATGAGTTTTTGCATTGCCATGATGACATGATGTTTCTGATACCTGACAAAATATAGATTTATTTTATTTTGATCAAGAGCTTGCAGTATGCTTTTATTAAGGTCAGAACGTTATATTTCAGCTCACTTTAAAATACTATATTGTTATGTAACAAAATTAAATAATCCATCCTTTCAGAAAAGAAAATCCTAGACTGTTAAAAGCAATATAAACCATCAAAAGTTAAACAAAATCGAGAACATTTCTGAAATATAGGTTCTAGCTACTAAGCATTGTCCACATAGCAAGGTTATTTAAATTTGTGGTTGGAAATTATTGAATACTGAATTTTCACTGAGTATGCGTCAAAAATAAAATGTATGTGAACAAAAAATGTGTTTGCCAGTAGAAAAACAATACAGACTACCAGTGTTTTTAATTGGGTCTGGTAAAATAAGTTTTGTTATAGATGTGGTTTTTTCGACTTAACTGTAATTTTATTAATGTTCCCGATAGTAAGATTGTCAATATATGTATATATTATGTATTGTAAGTATAATATATGTTATTTGGATGTACATTAGGTTTGAGATGTTATATACTAGATTCTACAATTCTACATGTTGTGTTACATGAGAAAAATATAAGACAGACAAAATGAAATACTCCAAATATGTATTTCCCCATTGATCACTTTTGTAATATTTTCCAAAAGCATATTAAATTAATCAAATAACGGGGGAAAGGATTATGAAAAGGAGAGTAGCCCATAGAGAAGTGTTGCCTTGGTTCCAAAATTGTAAAGAAAACATGCAAATCATAATGCTATAATGTGAGATGTACTAACATAGTTAATACTATAATCCCATTCCAAATTAAATTGATACTCGAGCTTGCCCTAAAAGGAATAAAATAATAAGTTAATAAACTGCACATTGGCCAACTGAAGATGTAAACTAAGGGGTTTGGTATTTTATAAATCAGAACAGAACCATTCACACTAAGTGTTACACAAAGCAAAATTAACATTTATTAAAGCATCCCTTAATCCTGGACATACAGTATATAGTTTCAAGCATTTATAGTTGCATGAAAATAATCCATTATCCACCAAAGGCTGTAGCCCGTAATCAAACTGAAAATCCACTGGAATGTTGTGAATAACTCTATAATCTAAAAGTCATCATGGTAAACAGAAGTGGCATAAATGCATATTTTTATTTTAAAACTTTTATCAACAGTACCTTAATAGCCAACATGCCCTTGTGAATGAAAATCTAAAATGCCCATAACCTATGAACATTGGTGTTAACAGTTTTTGTAATTTTTAAATCTATACTTTCAATTTCTATGTGTTAGAAAATCACTGAGATATTAAAATAACGTTAACGATACCATTATCAACCGGATATAAAGATTAGAATGTTAAACATTTTTCAACCTTGTTAGTTATATCTACGAATGTACCTGTAATCGTATCGTCCAATCCTACGAGACACCCGAAGATTGCGGCAATGTCTCCAATAAACGCTGTCATGACACCAATACCAATCAGAGAGCAGATGAAACATAACCACCCTTTGAAAATTTGAGGCGGGGGAAGCAGTGAGAACAGTACCTATAGTGCAAAAAAGTTGAAATAAGTGAAATAATTTTATAGTGAATCTACAAATCAAAACATGAAACATCAAGTAGAGCCCCTTTAATGCTTAAAACCAAGATTATGAGCTATAGTAAACATTACTTAAATTTAAGAAGTGCTGCAAGTTTTGTAATAAAATGACTGTAATAAAGAAATATCCAACGTCTATTTCGATTAAGAAAATAATTAGTATTTGTAGTGTAGCAAAAAGTAACATTCAAAACACGAGTGAAAGTGGGTCTATACATATTCTCGACCATTTAATTTGCTCTATAAATCTCACTCTTTAAACACATGGTCTCAAATAATTGTAATGACTCACTTTCTACTCTTGTTATGAATTTTCTGAATAGCCTCTTGTACTTTTGATCACTTAAGTCAATGATTAAACTCAGTATTGTTTTTTTAACCCTTTGAGTGCCAACGTCCGTTTTTAAAACGAGCCAAAAGTGCCGACGTCCGGCCGACCGGACGTTTTTAGAACGAGCCAAAAGTGCCAACGTCCGGCTGACCGGACGTTTCGTAATGATCGAACAGTTGTCATAACAACCGAATGGAAACTCGGATTCTTTTAACCCATATATTAACATTGAATCGAAAGTTACTAGATGCGATACATCGATTTTCGTTGGTCGAAATATCGAAAAATTGATTTTTACGAAATTTTAACCTAAAAATCGCCAGATCGCGCTCGGCATTTTTAGCGCGACTTTCGGGAAAAATCATCGGCATTTTTTGAGCGTTACTTTTATTTCTCGCCTGGCACTCTAAGGGATAATTTAACCCACCTTCCAAAAGAAAGAGAAGAAGTGTAGTGTATAGTCTCCGCAGGTAGCGTTCTCAATGTCCCCTCCATTGACTGTCATGGCAGTTCGTATCTGCTCTGCCCACGTCTTGGTGTGAATTCTAAGTGCGTCCACATTTGTATTGGTCAGTACCATCAACCGGTCCATCATGGTGTTGAAGTCTGTAAAAATATCAAATCTCTAATTGGTTTCTTTTGGTTTCCTTTACTCCCTCTTAAGGTTAGTATTTGAAAAAAAAATTGCGTTTTCAAACCTTTTGAGTCTAAAGTTTTGGTGTAAACACCCTGTAACAAGTTAATGAGGTTTTTAAATTGACGCATGTCATAGAGTGTGTATACAGATGTGCTCAGAGTTGAGCTACGGGTGGTCTTATTTTCATGAAATTTGGTAGAAATGTTGTACACTCTGGTATCTTCAGACATTATTTACTATTTTGTTTAATGTTTAGTATTTAAAAGGGATGAAAACCATAAAAAGGCAAAACAATTTTATGAAAACAACTGTATACTTATATTTCTTTTCAAACCCCAAAAAATTACACCACCTACATCTGCAAAAAGGATGCAAAAGTTATCCCAAAAAATCTAATAGACAGTGTAACCATTTTAATGTATCAGTATTGTTGAAGTTTATAGGTTAGGGGATGTTATTCTAAAATTGAGAGGAACAATTAAGAAAAATCCCACATAGCAATAATTTAAGTTTTTTTTCAATTTTAAAGTTTTTAGGCAAAAGTAATAACATAATAAAAAAGCTTGGCTAAAACAACATGATTTTTGGGACCGCTTTGAATTACAAGAGCATAAAACTATATACAAGAAATGTGTTAAGGGCTGGAGATTTTTTACTAGTTTTTAACCCACTCACCATCATCATTAGCAATGGTGACAGCCATTCTGTTGATGTTTCCAATGCGAGCTCCGTTAGATGCATCAAACAATTCTACCTCAAAATGTTCATCTTTCTCTGGGTCAAAGTCATTGATGATGGGAATCTCAATCTCCATTCGGGTCTAAAAATGTGCAACCATTGTATAAAATTAGTATTATGAAGTTCATGAGCAGTATTGCACATAAAAAACAAATACTTATGTACTTTATTGTTTAGAATGAAAATCAATGTTTCAAGCATGTTTGTAAAAATACAGATCGAAACTATTAAAAATAAAGATGTTATTTAAAGCTTTGTGATTAATGCAACTTTTAAAAGATAATGCATGCCAGTATTTTATGTACTTCAATTCAAAAAAGGAGAATAGTATACAATACAGCCACAATCATAGTGGGATCCCTTCCAGACTTTCTAGACTTACATTTAATGATTAATACAGGTAATCACGAGGGTATAACCTTAGACTCCAATTTTCAATTGTATAACTGAATATAAAAAAGGACAAAAATACTTATACAAGCAGTAGTAATAATAGTAACATTACCTCCATGTCCTTAAAGTTAAGTGTGCCATTTCCCCCAACATAGTCCCTTCCAGACAGGGCAGATTTGTCAATGGTTCGCCATTTGATGGCTACATCACCGTCTGAGCCTTTGTAGCGAATCACAGGAATACGGACCAAGCCAGCTGACTCCTTCACCAACATACCTCGTTTCTCAAAAGCAATGATGCCAGGGTCTAAACAATAAATTTATCATGTTAAGAAGCTTTGGCAGAACTAAGCTGCTGTTTGATGAAAACGTCCTAGAACACTATAGAGAGTGGAGTAGTAAGTACAGCAGGTCTACCACTTAAGCTACATTTCCATTCCTACAAATTTATGCCGGGCACAACAAATCTCCAAATTTGTAGGAATGGAAACAGCCTGGCACAAGTGCACGGCACAGATTTGTGCCCGCCGACTGCACGACAAAATATGTGCCCAGTTGGAATGGAAACGGCTGGGCACATAAAATGCGCCTTTCAATGGTATTTTAGCAACAAAAAAAACTTCTTATCCACCGTCTAGGTCGTTTTCGTCTCTTTCTTCTAACTTCATTGTATGCATCAGCCATATATTAAAAAGCAGAGGCTGTTATGTCATTCATGGCGATTTACAGAACACAATATAATCAAAATCAGTCACCGAACCTCACTACATCACAATAAGAGAGCAACTACCTTGTCGAGGGGCGGACTGGGTACTCTATTAGGGCGTAAACCTTGACCAGCCCGAAGGCACCAACCGGGGGGTCTGGGGGGTATGGAATACCCCCCTGTACAGAGGGGGGTCCGGGGAAAATTTTTTAAAAATTATACCTGTAAACTCGCATTTTTAGGCAATCTAGAGGCATTAACAGTGGAAAATCAGAAATCTGATAACTGACACTATTGGTCAATGTTTTGGTTTACAAAATTTAGACTATTTACCCACACGACTTGGTGCTATTCTGACAGTAAATATCCTAACAAAAATAAAAATACAAATGATTTTCTTAGGTTCTTTTGTATTATATTTGTGTATTTTCTTTATTTTCCCTTGCATGACTTGGCTGCATGCATGCAATATAAATCATTTGCTTCCTGTTTACAACCTGAACTTGCAACTGTTGTATTTTTTGGCACTGTAAATAACAGAAGTTATATATTTTAGATTTCTATGAAATTATTTTAACACAAACAATATGCTTTCACTGTGAACAAAACCAATTTATTGACTTAAACTTTTTTAGCATTACATTAAGTCAAAACTGTAACCCTAAAGTAGGCCTACCTAACCTATTTCTACAAACGAAATAGCCTAGAGAGAACTACGAAGGTATTTTGAGCTGGCTATCTGTAAGTAAAATAGGAAAGTTGACCAAATTAGTGCCATAGTGCATATTGAAATAATTAATTAATAGGCGGTAGCCACATACGGTATTAAAATAATGTTTACTGTTTAACCTTTACTGTGTAATGGTTAAGTTAACAAATACACTGTCACTAAATCTAATTTAAATTTTGTAAAAGTAGTGATTCTACAATACTGCTTTCGTTCATGTTTCCTGTGTAGGTAAATAATATAAAAATAAATTGAAGCTTTCGACACAGAGACACAAATAAGACACTCACTAAAGAGAGACACATTTTAATTGGCAGCTCACACTCTTTATTTATTTATTACATGCACGGCAAACGCCATTTTACAAGAGAGTTGAGTTGAGATTGATAAAAATTAAATGTGACTCAGAGTGAAATAGTTATAGTGTGAGCAATAATTAAATATTATAACAAATATGAATAATATTAAATTATCTTCACTAGTTGTTTACCACAGACGACATCGTGACACCGACCGATGTCGGATGCAGTCGCAGTGCAGTTTTTTTCGGGTTCGGCGTAAAATGACGCGGGAAGAGGACAGCTGTTTTTAAGTACCTCAGACCACAGAGTAAAGTGCCTTCCACTCGGAGTAGGCCTACACGTACGAGAGAGAAGAGCTGCTTTGCTCTCGCTTGTCGACAGTGTCTATTCAGGTCTCACACCCGACTTTATGTTTTGCTATTCACTGCTGAAACTTTTACTCTAGGTTTTTCCTCTTGCTTTCTAAAAACACATCTCGTCTCATTTTTTAAAATTTTGTATGAGTTTTTCCTTTAACGAGGGCGCAAATATTGGAATGTTGAGAAGGCGTATCGGCCCGTGCCGGTGGGCCGGCGGGCCAGTCCGCCCCTGACCTTGTCTGTCAGTTGTAGTCACGGGATTTGTGCCCCATGTGCCTGGAATGGAAACGGCATGACAAACTACGTTCGACATGTGCCGCGACATGGCTTTGACATGGCTTTGACATGTGCCGCGACTTGTGCCTGCACCTTAGAAACGTACTACGTGCTACTTGAAACGTAGCTTTAGACAAGAAAATGAGTTTTTTTCATTCACTGTTTCCAAAATAGCTAGTAGGTTTACAAATAGTTAAGGTGAACATTTTATCAAGTACAATAAAGTCTAGGTTGTCTGTCATCTTTTTTCTAACAGCGATATGCAAAGGATCGAAAGAATGTGACAAAGTATATTACCAAACAATTGTCATCCTGTAGAGGAGATTATGAATTTACCTGGCGTCCTGTCTACGATCTAATTCTTCTGAAAAAATTAAGAGTATCAGAAAAAGGTCAAAATTAAGACATTTATTACTACAATTATTATAGTATTAAATCATCTTTTGCAATCATAGCCAATACTCAATATGCAGATAAACTCACTGTCGTCATCCAAGATGGTGATCTCCATGATGGAGAGATGTCCCAGGGCTACGTTGCGGTTATCTCCGTAGACCAAACTGAGACGGAGGAAGAACTCCTCATTGGGCTCCCACTTGTTGTCATTCACAATCTCTACAATTACCTGTGATCAAATGTAAAGGACTATTATTCACATACAAAATTGCTTATAAATACTAGTTTCCTGAGGAAAATTTATTCTTGGTGTATTGAATCCCCATAGTTTAATTTTATTAGACAATTTTATGCTTTTAATGTTAAAATTGGTTAATTAATTTGGCTGTCCCTAATTTAGTTTCACTGAAACCTTTTCTTAACTCATCGGAACTCTGATTAACCTCTTTGATCTTTTTAGGCTCTAACCATGACACGTTCCATATTCAATTTGTATGGAAGCTTTTACTGCATTATTTAATGCTAAATCAAATAAAAATAAAGTCAAATCAAATCAAAATGCCTTTATTTAGCAAGCATTCCTCAGTTACATACTGTAACTTATTCGGAAGGGGTTTATTATTTTATTTTATTTTTTAAATTACCTGCTTTTCTCGTTGGTGGGGTTCAAATGTAATGATCTCGTTGATGGGAACGTAATCTTCTCCTTTACGAGCCGTGCCATCAATTGTTTTTACTCTGTAGACAATAAAAAAAAATCAGCAGATGATTAAAAATTCTTCTATGTATCAATTTGTTTATTATTTATAAAATTTAAACAAATCTACCAATCATAAATAATTATTTCCTATGTTTATACGAGAAAACATGGACATTTCTGAATTTTAATGTAGATGAAGTGGTTTACTTTTTGTACAATAGGAAAATGCATTATGCACCATTTAGACCCTCTAAGGAGTTATTTATTCTGTTGTCTAGGCCTCTACCCACTTAATCGAATCGCTTCAATACCATGGAATCGCTGTTTGCAATACTTCAAGATTTGCCTTCATACTCCAGGGATGGCATTGGTTCTGACCATGATCTTCCAATGGGTTTAACTGCATCGGTGCATCACAGCTGTTCGGTTCTCTTCTCTTTCAGCATTACTGGAGAATTCACAATCAGTGTTCCACAATTCGGGACTGGACAACATCAGATGAGCGAGTGTGTCCAGCAAAATCGGGCCAACAACCATTTGAGAGCTTCTCCTCTGGACTGCTGCCACTGAACTGTTTTTTTCTATCCTTTATTTTCACATTACGTTACATAAAGTTCGGCAAAGCTGTAATAACAGGTGACATTTTCAAGTACAGTCCTGAAAAGAAAGTTTATTTCGGAGGGAATCTGCCCATGTTTCACATCCAAAAAGAAGAACGTAGTGGACAACGAACATCAGCACCTACAGAAACTGCTCATATCAGCCTGCTCAAATTGGGGCTACAATCTTTTCTGCTTTTCTGTTGCAAAAATAATCTGGTATCGGAACGAAAGCTGAAAATCCAATCTCGTACCCAAGTACTTTACAGCAAGTTTCATGACTATCACTTCCCGGCCAACCCAGAGGTGTACAATTGGATTGATCTTCCATCTGTTGAGAAGCACGATTTTGTTCTTTTCCGTCGCCAAGGACAGGCCTTGGTCATCTATCCACCTCATCACATGACCCAAGGCCAAAAGTCAATAGCCTCTGCAGCTCATCAACTTAGTTTGCGATTATATACAGCGATATCGTCCGCATAACCAACGAGGAAATTCTCCTGAGGCATTTAAATCCAAAGGATACCGTCATAAGCGTTTCGGAGGTTAGGTCCAAGAATTGAGCCTCAATATAGCCTTACGATGTAGTGAGTGAAGGGGGTAATACAGCCTTTCGAACCCCCTGTATTTCCTGTATCCTATTTGTTTTCCTGCCAGTCAACACACATTTCTCCCAATGCAACTGGGATGATGAAGAATATTAAGATAAAAACTAGGTACTAAAATGAATGGTCCTCACCTAACCCTGACTTGTGGCTCTAGGTTGCCATGACGCCAGATTGTGACAGCGAACTTTCCAATCTTCTCCTTCACCGCAACGGTGGCGGCGTGAAACTCTACGATGGCATTCTTGTCAGTGTCCGGAGGTGGGGGAGCTTCAGCAGTCGTCTCCTTGTGCTCGTTCAGAGCTGTGTAAACCTTTGAGAAAAAAAAAACAGTCAAGACTTACATGTAACAAAAGCTTGTTGATCCAAATTGAGCATAATGCACCGATATCAGTATGGTCCTTATATTCAGGGATAGTAATAATCCCAGTCAATAATACAATTCGAAGTTAGTTGTTCCCAGAGCTGATAGACTCCAATAAAAATAACCAGAAAAGGTTTTAGGGCTATATAAAAAATGTTGTTTGAAAAATTACATTCTAGAGCATGTCTTGAACTATTGCGGTCAGCTGCTTCATCTGTTCAAATTAAGTTAGTAGGCTTGTTTTTTGTTTCTGTATGATTTGACAATTGATGATCTATGTTAATTTTTTTTTTTTAAAAAGAACAACTCTTTGTAATTTTGGATGATCCTTAAAAAAAACTTAACTCAATGTATGCATGATTTTTACTTTTAATAAAACAATAGTCAAGTATTTAATTTTCATAACAATCACAATTTTTTAGTACTGACATCTTTAAGTCGAGAGTTGAGATGAGGTTCAATACGACGAGAACCAGACATCTGTCGCACGGCTCCGATCCGATACCAAACTGCAGAGTGGGGCTGCGAGTTGACCAACCTTAAACATTACAGAGCTTCTTTACTTCCAAATACCTTGTCAAATGGGTTACATGGTCTCTAATATTAGGCCTATGTTAGATACAGCCCAAACGACATAGGTGAATAACTTGGAAGATGACCTCCACAAGCTGAAAAGATGATTATAGAAAGCAAAGATCAGAGAGGGGGGAAGGCAGCTATATCTGAAAAGTGCTGTAGCACCAGACAGTAAGTATAACATTTGACTATATAGAGCTAGACGTTCCATTCCAATGTTAAGAGTCATTCCAAGTTTTTAAAATAAAATTACAACAATTGAATTGAGCTACGACAGAGTTGGCTGAAGTTGGCAACTTTTTAACCTTATGGCTTGGTGAAAGGTAAACATTTCCAAACTTTACATCATACACTAAGATTGCACATCTTTACATCATAATCTGCCGTTGTATATAAAACTAAGGGGGAAACTAAAATTTTGTAAGTTGCACACCCTGTGAGTGGCCCATACAACTTTTTATTTGAACGCAAAATTGGATACAGCTCGTCCATATAGATTAGCATGTGTACTCTGGTACCCAACCCAGTGTCAGTAAAGAACATACAGTAAAACAGGGAGACTCACTTAGCAGCAGCTAGGACTGCTGCATCCTCATCACTCACTCCAGGAAACTTCTTCACTTCCCTCACAAACTCCACCAGGTTGGCCTTGTCCAATTTCCCCTCCTTAAAGAAGTTTCGTTCCAGGATCATCTTCTGGCCTAGAAACAATGGTACAAATATTAATATTGGCAATGGTATGTTGAGATTTCTAGACCTACATTTCTGGAAAAAAATAGTTTGAGTCCTATAAAGTTAAAACATTAAGAAACCAACAGTAGCTTTAACACATTGAATGGTTATAGATAGCCTACTGAAGATTTCAATAAGGAGAAAGAAATTGCAGGGGCTTTGCGTTAGTGTTGCTACCTCGTATCAATCCTGAGAACTACAACCATGTTATTTCTTTTGCACCTCTTACTTTAGTGTGTCAAAATCATGAAACATTGTAAAGTTTTATCATAATTATACTTTTTATAATTAAAATGTACAACCAGAAATTTAAATACAAATCATTTAAAAAAAAGAAACTACACCTATGGTAAAATAACAACCATACCAGAAAAACAACTCACTCTGTTCTCCTTGGAGTGGGCCGAGTTCCAGTTGCTGTTTGTTGCGGGGCCGGAACGCCTTGAGTCCGCACCAGCCGCGGTCAGCTGCGTACGCAAACATAACCAGGATAGGGAACATGGCGAACGTGACGCATGCCTCCCACAACTCCACGACATCTGGGGAGATAAAGCGGAGGATCACCAGCAGCCAGATGTAGGCGAAGAAACTGAACAGCCCAGTAACAATGAACACCTGCGGGACAGGGTGAGAATGTGTTTCTTTGTATATTGCACTTTAAAACAGTTGAATATGGATAAGTGTTCAGTTGACTGGGATGGTGGAGTCGTCCTGTAATCCAGCTACTAGGAGGTCATAAATTGTGGATATTTATAGGCATGCACTGTGGATGCGATACTCCCTGGTGTGAGTACTACAACTGCCTGCAGTACTATCCTGATAATTAGACCAATTAAATCGCTAATACAACCCCCTCACGGTCCTATAAATGTCGAATTACGAGAGCCAACTGTATGCTCATGGCATAAAATCTTAGCTGAATCTTGATAATCTTTTATGTATGACAAGCTTGATATGGAAACAAAACAATAATTTATTTTGAAAATTGATAGTTGTTTTTCTATATTCTGACACCATAAGTCAAGGGTATGGAAACCTGCTTACAAAAAAATAATACTATAAAATCAAATCTGATCAAACTTAATCATGGGTAAAATTAATAAATTTAGGCATTATTTTGTAATAAGACCATTTTTTTATTACTAAAGAAAATAATTTTCTAAACAGAAGAGCGTGGGACTATACCATATGTGTCAGACCATCTAGCGTTGAATTGTCGATTTCCAAGCGATCTATCGATTTATTGAACTATGCAGACTACACAGTGTATATTCATGTAGCAGATAACTAACTGATCATAATCTTTCATTTGAATACAAAAAGAATTCAAGGACAACTTGGTAGAGAACGACACCACTATATCTGTTGCAAACTTTTGTATCAAGAAGAGTACATTTGACATCACTTACAGGTAAAATGTTTTACTACAGTAAACCTTTGATAGTTCGACACTCGATAGTTTGACACTCGATAGTTTGACACTCGATAGCTCGGCACTCCTTGTAGTTCGACAAGGGCTAAGCTATTTTTTGTCAAGTGATATTTAATGGTTACTATTGTGATGTAAGCTGACTTGAACCTTAATTTTTTTTATTTATTGTTGACTTGAGACTTAACTAATGAACAGTGAAATTGTTAAGCTTTTTGGTATTTGATCAATTTGGGTGATTTCTATCTTAAGACTATTTCGATAGTTCGACATCCCTTGAGTCCACAAAGTGTTGAACTATCGAGGTTGTACTGTATTTAATTTTTTTAGTACTAATAGACTTATACATATCAATAGATTGTGGGTGAATTGTGGGGGGATTGGGGGGGGGGGTTGTGTGCTCAAATATGAAAGTCGCTGGTTTGATTTCAAGCGAGATCGTTGCCAGATCCAGGTGCCATTTCATTGGGCTATCAATCAATGATGCTATCTAACATATTGTTGTTATTTGTTTGGACTGTTCCTGTACAAATCATGTTAAAAATTGCCAAATTGCCACTGGCGTAGATAAATACCAAAATAAACACTGGTACCTGTAAAATTAATCCAGCTCAACCAAAATTATTTTGCTGCTGTGCACAGGTATTTTTAATCTAATTAGTGAGTCAAAACATATTCCTGTTTTTAAAATTTGGCCTTCAACTAAAATTATCTATTATCAAATCAAATATACAAAATGTATATGCATACTACTATACTCAAAAAATACATTATTTTACTCTATAATTGAATTAAGTAACAATTATGACGATTAGTTAAGTTAATCTCACGATTAGCGGTTTATCTTGGCTTATACAGTACAGTCAATTCTGTGAAAAAAAGCAAATAATGGTCTTTTCATACAGCATTTTTAGTAATACAGTAAATAACGTTTTGGTAGAATTAACTCTTGTTTAATAATATTAATATGATATTTTCTGTATGAATTAACTCAATGAGTGTATTACTGTAATGATAACTTGTACCTATCAATGTGTCCATTGCAGTAATAAATTTATTTTATTGATCATAAACTAACTAAATATTTTCAACACAAGTAACATCAAAGAGATAATCTAGTCAAAACTACTTACGTGACATGATTTAACACAGCATATCAACCCAGTAAATTAAATTAATCTTTCACTTTGAATAATATCACCCTAACACGGCTGGAAACTCTGTGATATGTTTTACAATGTGACCTATATAACACACTGTCCACCAAAAGGCTACATACTTAACAAGTGTTCATGTCAATATGCTTGTTTTGTTCGTTTGTTGTCTTTTTACGTCAGTACTGTCTTGGCACATACATGTACCGGAACCATCATCACCGTTGAAGGACAGTTCTGGTGCAAGTTATTTGTCTGAGCAACGACTAAATCTAATTTTTCCGGGTACCAAGTGGTGCGGTTCGGGCAATATAGCGGAAAACTACGACGACCTAGGCCCGAGTGAGTCTACTGACAAGTGCTGCCGGGAACACGACATGTGCAAAGACGTGATAGAGTCCGGCAAGTCTGCTCACGGTCTTATCAACGACGGGTATTACACCAAGCTTAATTGTGAATGTGATGAAAAGTTCTTGAAATGTTTAAGGTCCGACTCTTCTCAGACATCTCACATTATCGGAGTTATTTATTTTGACTCTTTGAACACTCAATGTTTCAAAGAGGAACACCCGATTTTGAAGTGTTCAACTTACTACAAGTGGCCTAAAAGTAGGTGTAAAGAGTACAAATTGGACAAAACTTCTCTGAAGAAGTACCAGTACTTTGATGTACCTTTATTTTAAAATTGTTAGCTGATGGATTAAAATTTGTCATATCAATTCTGTTTATTAATATCCTATTTTTGTGTATCCTCAAATCACACATATAAAAGAGTTTTTTATAAATATCTTACCTTGAATCTCTCGATGCGTCTAGTGTCACCCACGTTCAACGCCATCATGCACACCGATGTGATGATCAGAAGATTGAAGGCCGCTGAACCAACGATCGTACCAGGTCCAAGTTTACCAGACTCAAAGTTGTGACCGACGATTTCAATAACCGACAGAAGGATCTCAGGAGCTGATGTCCCCAGAGCCATGAGTGTAAGGTTGGCGACAGTGTCATTCCATACTCGGACCTCTATGACTTCCGGCTCATCCTCTCGCAGTCCCGCCACCACGCCACCAACAGAGGCGTAGCTTCCGTTCTGATCAGAAACAAAATGTAAGGCAACTACATTTTGAACTAGGTAATGATTATATTTATCATTCAATAAATAGATTTAATGCATGATTGAAATTAGCTAAATCTGGCAGCTAATAATGATTTTAAAATGACTTTCTAAAATAAATATTTTGCTGTAAAAGTTGGAAACCAATTCACAACAAAAACAAGCATAAATCATCAAATCTACCCTAAAATAAGTGAACATTTAGTCAACACTAGAACTGAAACATCACAAAACATGAAACAAAAAGGCTTCAGATTTCATAATAGAATATTAGACATCTGTTTGTACTATTATGTCAAGGTTTTAGGACTACACAAGAATCATTACCTAAATTACACATAAGCTTAATCTTTAAGCACTTTTCAATGATATAGAGGATAATTAGAGTGAAATATTTTCTTTCTAATCCATTGTTTTTTCCTTAGCATAAAGCAAAGCTAAAGGACAAAAGCTCATTTTTAAGTGGGGTTTAAATGTTATTTTACAGCAATTTATAATTAGACCTAATAGTAAATTGATTTAATTTTACAACATCATAATTATGTAGGTTTATTTGTTGTGATTAATTATATATAAATTTTGAAACAGCATTCATTTTTGTGCCCCTGAAAGTTGCTATTTTATAGAATACACAAGTCAGGCATGTCTAAAGTTAACGATTGTTCCTAAAAGTGACGCTCGGTTATCAATGAGCAAGACATATTGTGAAAAATATTGCAAAAGTGTATCATTCACATAACATTGCCATTTAATATCTAGTTTAGTCGTTCAAACTAAAACAAAAAGTCTTTAAAAAATTTGAGCTTAAATTGTAAATCAATAAACTTAGTTTTTGGTAGTAAACAAATCACATTATATGTTCAGGTTAAGTGTAAGAAAGGGCCATGTGGCCCTAACTTTGCCTGAAAAAATAAAGGATTTTTTTATTTCATTTCATTATAATATATCCATAGAAGGTGACGGATATGTAATGTAATGAAACAATGGGTTGTGAACCCTCGTGTGATCTGAGAAAAAAAAATACTAGAGTTAAACATTCCCTTGAATTCTCTTCATCAGAAGAGGTTCTCAAGGAATAATTTAACTGAAACAGAAAAAAAACAAATACTAAATAAATTGGAAATTGGGTGCTTATGTATGGAAACGAGGATTGAAAGTAATAGAAGATTCTTACCCCTGGCTTCCCATTCTCTGAACTTGGCGCAGTGGCCACAACTTGTCTCTGATACAGACAGAAATCTAAGATCAGTGAACGGACTGAAATTGTACCGAATCGAAAGTGTGAAGCACCCAGGTGAATGTGCAGTGAAAAAGCAGAAAGTGCAGTTGCTGAGATTTAAACGTGCAAACAAACATACAAACAACAACAACAAACAAGCAAGCAAACAATGTTGCGAATAAACATAAGGAAAGAAGCCTTTTATTCTGTGTTATCCAAGTTGAATGTTTTGCATGGAAGATAATAAAATTAGAGCATAACACATAAACATAGCAACACGCATTGATGGAAAACAAGCAATAATGGAAAACATAAGGACGATATATAGAATTGAAAATCGCCCAAAACACATCCCTAAAAGTAAAAATAGCATTTCATTAATATGACAAAGGTTGAATGGTATAGTGTGAATTGAGTACATTATTTTTATTTATGATATAAGAAAAGGAAACCCAAGCAAAACATGTAAATGTAACAATGCCTTGAGATCGGCGAAAACTTGTCAGAAGAAATTTATAATGCAGAAGATGATATACTCATCATTTAAACTGTATGAATGAAATATCATAATGTAGTCCATGCATATTTAACCACAATCAAATTCATACTCTAAAAGATAAATAAGCAACTAAAATTCGATATAGATAATTTCTCAACCCTTACCAGTATTTGTAAAATGACATAAACTATGAACTAACTTAATACTGTTACTAACTTAATCCAGGACTAGGAAGTTCCTGTCTTGATTGCTCATAAAAAGAAGTTGACTAAAAATGTACGCAAAATTTTTTAAAAGGAGGACTTGGGTATTACTGTACTCTACTAACAAAGACCTTTAATTTGATGTACATATCAACATTTGCTTAAATGTAAGATTTTCTTCTGACTCCTAGTGGGCCGTCCCTCTGAGGAGGCATCACTGAATAATGTTACAAAATAGTTATCATGACCAGTAGTTTTGTTCCAAGTTTTGTAGCTCTATTTTTATTATTTTTGAAATATTTAACTGTTCCAGGAATTTTTTCTAGAAAAATGCAGAAAATTCAATAATCCTTTTATGTAAAATATTATATTTTTTATAAACTGTAAGGGTGAAATTCATAAATAATTTATTAGGGAAGAACATTGTAACTCTGAGGTCATAGGATGATGGGCTGCTGACTCACAGCCTTGGGTCAAGGATAAAATGCCAAGCCTAAGTCACAAGAGGCACCAGTGTAATAGAATATTTCTGGTCTTGTGTCATGTGTAAAAATATCAGCTGACCAATATGTAAACAACATTCATGACGGATAAACACAGAGAAACCACATTCCTCTGTATATAATGATCATATACTGTAAACAAGATTTATAACGTAAATATCTTCCTAAGAACTAATTTGCTTAATTTTAGCGAATTTCCCATATAGGGAATAAGCTATTACCGTAGTACTCATGGTAAGACCTGGACGCGGGACAGATTTTTGGTTTTGTTTTGAGGTCCCTAGAGGCCAAAAACACCATCCGTTCAAATTCATATATATATATATGTGTCCGTTAGCACGATAACTCGAGCAAAAATGATCCGATTTTGATGAAATTTGGTATAAACGTGTAAACCTACGTTTATTCGAACGAGTTCGCGATCCAGCATGATCGGACCATGGGAACAAGGGTTTACGGGGGGTTTTATGGGGTAAAAATAGGTTTTTCCCATTTTTGACCCAAAAAACATAAAATTTAGCAATTTCTTTCCAAACCATTTTGTAGAGCTTAAAAAAACAAATAATTTAGTATGTTGAAGCGTTATTATGCGCCTAATGGTTACGGAGAAAATTCCAAAAAATGTTAAATTTAAAATTCCCATGTTATTCTTATGGAGAATAAGTAAACTGTTGTAGTTTGCTTGTTTATGAACATATTTTGATCAAATTTGGAAAATGTTTTTATTTCTTACTAACTATTAACATTTTACAAAAAATAAAACAGTTTTACCCTCCCTAATGCAGCAAACCTAAGTACTTGTTAAACTAATTCTATTTAAATCGGGAATAAATGTTATATTTGTAAGCAGACATTTCAGTGTAAATAAAATCAGTCAAATGGAAATTCGCTTAGTCTGCAGGTTTGCTGCGGCGGGGTATTTCATTTTTTTAAAAGCTTAACTCAAGGATTTCAACCAGATGTAGAAGGATTGCTGTTTTTACCTTCTTGTTTTTTGTTTTGGCGAGGTACACTTTCCTTGTAGTGCTGGTGATCACTTCTATGGAAGACATAAACACATCTGTTACTATGGCAACTCCCAGGAAGAAGTAGAAGAGTACCAAAAGATAGATCACAGCTCTCACTTGCACATTCCATTCTCTGGAACCAGAAATAGTATTGTAAAATGTTGAATCGACACCGACACACAGTATGCATATTTTAAACAACTGTAAACAAATGCTTGTTGAGTGTTAAATGTAGTGAGATGTTATGTTGTTATGTTTAGCTCTCATTGCCAACTAAGATCAGCTGTGTCTTTAGCTTGGATGGCTTGTATTAAAGGCCGTTGTTTGAAGCTAGACAACTTTGCATAATTTGCACAACATATTCAAGTTAAGTGATTTCTTTATTACGTAGAATTAGATTGTTTCAACCATCCTTTTTTATTTCTCAATGTTTAAACTTTCATTGTTTGTTGCTCCTTTGTAGGACTGTAATGTTTTACGTTAGTTTGAAGATCTTCAAGTGTAGGTCAAAGTTCAAGAGTTCTAGTTATTTGTAAAATGTTTTCCTTAGATAAAATGAACTACACCACTCTAAAATGGACACTATGAAGAATAAAACAGGGGTGGTATTCAAAACCATTTTAACATATTTCATCACTAGGGTGTAAAGTGACTCTTTTCAACCCGAGATCAAATGAGCGGCGTTGAAAGGTCACTTTTTGCCTGTGTGATGAACTATTTTTTGTCACATTGCACATTTATTTGAGTAAAATAAGTTAGAAAACAAAAATAATTTTCATTTAGAGACAATCCCTCGAAAACGACTTCCAACTTGTTTTAAATTTTGAAATAAGCATCTGTTAAGTAAGTCACTAAAATAATTTTGTCTATTACGATTGTGTTAGTGTACTTACAGGGTGGTTGAAAAGTAACTTGCACCATTTGAGATATTTGAAATCGTATTGTGACGACCTTCTTAGATTAGGGGCGAAAATAATGATGGTTAATTTTGAAAACTTTGCCCTTAGGGTTGTACGTTAGTTCAAAAGTTTCCTTTTGGGAAGTGTAGTCGACTTTCATATCATTTTACAGGTCTCGATGAAACTAAACAATTGACATAAAGAAAAGGGAAATCGGACCACTATTTACAACATAGTAGCTGAAAATCACTTTTAATAACCAGAGTCTTAAACATTTAAAAAAACCCACAACAACCAACCCCACAAGTGCAAAAATTTTAAAATTAACCATAATTATTGTAGCCCCACATATCTAAGGAGGTTGCAGCAAACTTATTCCAAATACCTCAAATATTTAAAAATTTAAGGGGAGATGCAAGTTACTTTTCAGCCACCCTCATGGTTAATTGAATTTGAACCGTTTTAGGGTGTCAATTTGTTATTAGTGGTCTGATTTTTGTTTTCTTTATGTGGATTGCTAAGTTTTGTCAAGACACCTGTATAATGATTGGGAAGTATAGTCGACTTTGGTATCATTAAATGATACCAAAGTCGACTATACTTCCCATTTGAAAATGTTGAGCTAACCCCTAACCCAGCTAGGTAGTGGTTAAAGGGCAACATTTTCAACTATCATTATTGTAGCCCCTAATATCTAAGAAGGATGCCGCAAACATCTCAAATGGTTAAAAAGTTAAGGGGGTGTTACTTTTCAGCCACCCTGAATACTATCAATATGTCGAACTATTGACAAGAATGTAACAATAGGCTACAATCGATGCATGCGATAGCTTTACAATCAAAGTTTAGAACTGAACTACCTTCAGCTGACTTTTACTCCCTAGGGAGAGAAATAACTTTTATTCCCTAGAGAGAAAATACCTGCTTTATAAACTTTGTTTGTACTCGCAACACATGTTTTACAAATGGCTGTGATTGCCTCTGTATGACAAAAAACTTATATATGAAACTACGGCTATAAACTTGTAAAGTGTAAAACAGGAAAACAGTTACTTTTATTCTACTTACCTTTCATCAAAGATAGGTAATATAAGACCCGGAGAACAGATGTCCGGAGGCCCCCACTTGTAGTGGGAGATGTTGTCGTGGTGGCTCATGGCATCTGGAAACACCAGAAGAAAATATAGTATTCAATATAATAATTTTGCACTAGATCTAAAAATGATATGACATTTAGAGCAGAGAACCAATAATTTCAAACTAGATTATAAGATAATTACTTTGAAAAATAATGTATAATTATGCATTTAGAACAGAACAGCCGTGTTACAATCTGCCAACTAACCCAGTGTAGTAGTACACTTCTTCTTCACTGTAAAAAAAACCGCTGTCTAAACTGTAAAGTGTTCAAAGTTGTATTCCTCTCAACTCTTTAGAATGAAGACAAATTGATTAAATCTCTTCAAGCACATAATTCAATTTTCAATTAAACAAGAGTTTAACTGCAGTGGTGCAAAACAAACAACTAGATAATAACATTATCATGTTAATTTTAGGTGTTGTTGTCCATAAACGCACTGTTTGAAGATTATGATCAATTGGCCAGATTCTAAGTAAACTTATTTTCATTTTATAATTGTCGGGGATAGTCGAGTGGCTACAGTACTCTCCTCCAGGCACAAGAAAAAATAGTGTTTGACTGTTTAATTAATTGTGCTACAGTACTACACTCCGTTCACAACATTTACAGCGTTTTAGGCCTGAGGAAATCTATCTCCTACACTTTGAAAAAAATAGCTCAACAGCTGAGGTTTGCCAAAATGTTAATCAGCTGGAAGAAATACATCAAGCAAAAAATACCCCCGCCGCAGCAAACCTGCAGACTAAGCGAATTTCCATTTGCCTGATCGGATTTACACTAAAATGTCTCCTTAAAAATGTCACATTTATTCCCTATTTAAATAACATGAGTTTAAGGGGTACTTAGGTTTGCTGCAACAGGGAGGGTAAAAAGGTGTTTTTTTGTAAAATGTTAATAGTTTAGTATGAAATGAATACATTTTCCAAATTTGATCAAAATATGTGCATAAACAAGCAAACTACAACAGTTTACTTATTCTCCATAAGAATAACATGGGAATTTTAAATTGATTTTTGGAATTTTCTCCGTAACCATTAGGTGCATAATAACGCTTCAATATACTAAATTATTTGTTTTTTTAAGCTCTACAAAATGGTTTGAAAAGAAATTGCTAAATTTTAAGTTTTTAGGTTCAAAAATGGGAAAAACCAATTTTTACCCCATAAAACCCCCCATAAACCCCTGTTCCCATAGTCTGATCATGCTGGTTTGCGAACTCGTTCGAATAAACGTAGGTTTACACGTTTGTACCAAATTTCATCAAATGACCTTGTTTGTTGATTCATCTATGACCTTGTTTACCAGGTCATAGATATTTAGAGTTTTGTACGTTTGGTGACTGACACAGGCACTATTCACTCTTTCTGTTGTAAAAACAGTTCAATTATCTTAATATTGCATTCTGTGTATGGGAACTTAAATGCATCGCTGCAACTCGGAGGTACATCAAGTACATCTACATATTCACTGTCTCCCACAACTCTCCCACACTTCAAGGTCCAGCTATTTATTCTGGAATGTTTTAAACACAGTTTCACAATATCCTCTGCTCCTCCTACCAACTCACTCCCCCGCAACCTTCATGTTGGAGTACAGGTATAAAATAGAGAAAAACAATAATTGTTCTGATCAAAAGCTAAGTTCTTGTATGCATACCCAAGTTTTATACTAGAGGTGATAGGTTTATCTCACTTTATATTCACTAAGATTTATTTTGAATCGTCAAGTCATATTTTTATGTTGAAAAGACAAGATTTAATTTAAAAAATATTTTAAAAGCAGAAGAGTGTCAAAAAATTTGTGTGTGAAATGTTATGATTGTTAAAGGGAACTGTTTTAAAAAACATAACTAATTATAACATCTTATTAAAAATTTTTTAGAATGTTAAACTGTTATCAATAATTAAATTAAAACAAAATTAATGGTTTTTAGGATAGAAGTTGTCTAAGTAAAAGAAAGTAACTAGCGGAGATTTGAAACCAAACCTCAGAGACATAGGTTTCTGTGCTGTAACCACAGCACTTACTTTACATAAACATTTTAGGTAGCTGAGTGGTTAATGTGCTCGCCTAACAATCATATGGTCGCCGACGCCAGGTCGATCCTGAGAAAAGTCAGTAGCTTTTTGATGGTTTGAAACTGGACCCAGCTGTACCTGGATCATCGGGCTTTAAATAAATGATCCTGACTGATAAAACAGCTGATCTTAGTCAGTAACAAAGCTACACAGATCATCTCATTCTCACTCCATTCTGCACTATATGTCAATCTATTCTTCACTCATATTTGGGTTAAAAATACGCACATAGCGGTGTCCCCATCTCAATTGCTAATGCTTGCTAGTAATATTGATGAAACGCACATATGATGAAAAACGGGTAATTTCAAACTGCTAATTAAAAATCTAAAATTTTGTTTGTAAAATAAGAAATTGAGTGGGTGAAATTTCAAAAAATAAAAACAGATAGAGTAATGTTTATTGATATTTAACTTCCATTATATAAACATGAAGACTCCCTATAAGGTGGAGGTATGTGACACCTGTATAGACTGACCTACTTGTTGAGGACATCAACTCCCATACCTCAAGGCAATCTTCTCCCATTGAACAAACCCAATTATTTAAAATCCAGACAGAGTGCTGAGGTCAATGTTATGACTTCATTAAAACAAAAAAGAGTATATTCTATCACTTAAGGGGTAAGGTGACTCTTTTCGATCTGAGCTCCAATGTTAAATAAGCGATGGTTGAAGAATTAAATTTGTTGTCATATTGCACTAATATTTAAATGAATTAAGTTACAAAACAAAAATACTTTTCATGCAAATATGATCTCTCAAAACGACTTCCAACTTGTTCTCAATTTTTGTAGTGCAAAGAAACAGATGTTTTAAGTGATTCAAAATACAGGGTTAATAAAAAGTCTGGAGACCCCCTGTCAGTTTTCGGCCCATACTAGAAAAACAAAACTATACACCTTTATGGTATGTTATGAAATACTTTTTGGGCATAACCGCCACTTTGTGTACATCCCCAAAATGGGGGATTTTGGTGGAAACTCAAAAATTTCAAACGGCAAGACCCATTGAGTGACCCCTCATTTTGAAGGTCCTAATAAAAGAAAACTAACAACCCAAACTAGGGATTTAAAAGATTTCTAAAGATTTCAATTGACTGCCATATTTTACTGGGTTAAGATGGAGAACTCTAGTTTCCGTTGTTAGTTTTCTTTTATCACGACCTTCAACATGAGGGGTCACTCGATGGGGCTTAACATTTGAAATTTTTGAGATTCCCCAAAATCCCTCCCCCCAATTTTGGGGATGTACACGAAGTGGCGGTTATGCCCAAAAAGTACTTCATAACATGCCATAAAGGTGTGCAGAGTTTAGTTTTTCTAGTGTGGGCCGTTAAAAATTTGACAGGGACAGGGGGTCTCCAAATAACGCCCTTCTGTGGTCCCCGCGGTGTGCTACTATCACAGTGTGAAGCACTATTGACTTGTATAAGTATTAGTGTATAGTCATTTCCAGCAGTGGCGTGATTCAGAAGGCGGTATTCACAGTGCATTAGTAAAGGTCAAGCTTGCGTGTCACAACTCACGTTCCAGCATGACTCGTGATAACTACATTTAAAAAATAAATTCCCTTTATAGGAGGAAAGATGAGTAAAAATTACACAATTAAAAAATAATAATTCATTAAGCATGATGAAGTTTTATATGGTAGCGTGCATGAAATGTTAATAAAAATGAAAATGATCATAACCTGCTGATACAATGGACCAATAAACGGCGATTAGTGAAGGAAACAACACAATAGACTTTACACAAGTCAAAGTGATGAAGAGCGAGAAGTAGTCATTACGAAGGCTAACTAACCTATAATTGCGGTTTCATACCTCCAGGTTTTAATCAACATTGCGGAGGGATGTAATTATTTTCCGCATCATATACTATTTTCTACCGACTTACAAATCAACAGGTGAAAGTATGTGGCTGTTTTCACTCTGTTAGGTTGGTATAACTATATCCGCTACGAGTCCAATAAACAGCTGAAGCGACATCAACCACTGCAGGAACAGGAAACACGCTTGCCACCCAAGCCAAGCGTAATTGCCGGGAAAATTCGGTGAACGCGTGTGAGGTCCGTGAACATGAACAGTTTACTGGGACATGGCTCATGGCTCTCTTGATTCGAATAGGAATGCAGAAGCAATAAGAATAGTCTGCGATAAGTCGCTGACATTCGTGTGTTCGATTATACCACTGTATCCACTATCCAGGATTACTCTAGTGAGCGAGCGTGGCGAAACTTTAATAACATTCCGGGGCAACTCTAAACTAGCCAAACTAAGTCATAACATACAAATTCTCTAATTTTATTCATTTTCCACTGACCATGAAATGAACAGCCTACTCGGACAATGAACTACAGCTAGACACTCGCAGGTATTATACAATACAGTATTATACTCGGGCATTACAATGCCCTCAATGATGCTACGCCGTTATGTCATCAACGCAGTGCATGGCTCAGCGTCGCGTTTGTAGGTCTTTGGTTCACCGCCTTCCTTTTCCGGCGGTCTTTGGTCTGTTCCATGAATGCTGATGAGTTTACACGGCCTTGGTAACTGCATTTGGAAACCTAGCGGCTGTGATCGATAAGAACAGTGAAAGAGAGTGGAATGTTAACTAGCCTAATGAATTTAATGCTATGATACGAACATAGCCGAACAGAAAATGTGAATGAAAACTGTGCAGGTTTTGTAACTTATTTTGCAACGCAAATTAGGCCATCCCAAATACGATTTTATATTGGGTACTATAGACTGGATTACGGCTTAATAACTCTTAAACATAAACTACATCATAATCAAATAGCAGAATAACCTTCTATAATACATAGCTTGAAAAATATTTTTTATTCGCTTATGATCAACATAAATCGTAGGATAATTAATACTGCTATCCCATTAAGTTCGTTATTTTTGTTCTTATTACCCAGCCATATATCGAGA